AGGCATGATTCTGAGCCCGCTTGTGAGAGAAGTTGAGAAATGTTTGGGGCCTGTGAGCCTCTTTGAATGTCTGGATGCTGTCTTAAGGGCAAGGATGACTCCAAAACTTCAAGGCTGGAGTGAGGGCCAGAGGTCAGGAGTTGCTGGGAGGTGGAGTTTGGCTGACAGTATTCAAGACCTCCTTATGCTGGGTTTTCATCTGGTCTGAGTTGTGATTTGAATCATGGTGGAAACCGGACAAGGCCTGATATCACTCTCCAAAGTCTCTTCCGACCCTAGCATCCTACTACATTATCAAAAACTGGGTTGAGCATCAGAAAGGATCTTTTAGTCGGTTCTGGGATTTGCCCTGCCCTATCTCATCAGAAATTTGTGATGCATCAGCCCCGAATTATCCCTGGATTTTCATTCTGGCCTGGATCTGAGCTCCTCAAGATGATGGCATCTGGCAGACTATTTCTCAGTGAAGAAAGGCCAGCCCATGATATAGACTCCAGATTTTACTGTGGACTGGCAAAGGTGGCCTCTGCTGAGCTAGTCCCAGAACCAGCAAGGTAGTCTGCATCATTTCCAGGCTGCCTTGAAAATTTGTTTGCTTCTCATTGAAGCCTAGAGGATAGTACAACTGTCCAGTGCCTTTGGCTGTCTACTCAGGGCTGCCATCTTGTGGGAAACAAAGTAGTGACAGCAATGCCATTGTTCTGCACCCTTGACCTCTTTCTCATTGGTCGGGTGATTTATGGGAATGAATAATGTCATATCTCCACTGCCTACCATGCACAGAATAGTTTAAAGATTTAACACGATAAGAATGGGACTAGGTAGAAAGAAATAGAGGGGATGAAACAGTTCAGGTTGTAAAACATATATACATGGAAATGTTGCCATGAAATACCCTGTATAGCTATCTTAAACAAACAAAAATGTCTTTTTAAAATTCTTTTTACAAATATGGAGAACAGGAAAGCCAAACAGGTCCTGCTTGGGGTTGGTACCAGTGGGAGGGGGACGATATAAGGAAAGGGTGAAGGAGGATGAATATAGTAGAAGTATTACATACACATGTGTGTAAATGGAAAAATGAGACCTGTTGAAACTATTCCAGGAATCGGGGGAGGGAGGATAAAGGAGAATGATGGAGGTTGAATTCAGCTGTGAGGTATTGTAAGAACTTTATAAAATGTCAGTACAACAACAACAATAATAATAATAACAAAAAGTAGTTTGAAGAGTTAAATGGAAAATGTAAAGCTTGAGTACTTTTTAAAAGTAACAGTAATAGGAGTGTATCTTAATGACCTCAAGGCAGGAAGGAGAGAATTTCTTAAAACAACCAAAGCATATACTACAAAGGAAGTCACTGATTAATTTTGCTATATCAAAATGTGAAATTTTAGCACAAACAAAAGGCATCATAAGCAAATTTAAAAGCCACATCGTTGGAGAAGATATTTGTAATGAATATAACTAGGAAAATGTTAATACCTATAACTTAAAAATAACTTCTAGAGGGCTAGGAGTATAGCTCAGTGGTAGAGTGCTTGCCTGTCCTGCACAAGGCCCTGGTTTCAATTCGAGCACTGAAAAAACAAACAACTAGAAATAGAAGGAGAGGGAAAGTGAGAGAACAGGAAGGAAGAAGAGAGAAGTCAAAGGATGGGAATGGGCAGTTCATAAAAGAGAAAATGTGTGTAATTTATAAACATAAAGAGACAGTTACCCAGTCTTTAGTAGTCAGGAATGTAAGATTAAAAATGAGATAGTACTTGTTGTTCATGAGATTGGCAATACTTAAAAATATCTGACAATAGCAAAGCGGCGGAAGGACAGCTCAATGTCCATTGATGAAACAAAATGTGGTATAGCCATACAACGAAGTATTCTTCAGTCTGAGACTAGAAGGAAATTCATGCTTTGTAGGTGAATCCTGAGACTATTATGCTGAATGAATAAACCATCCACAGAAAAGACAAATACTGTTTGGTTCTACTTATATGAGGTATCTAAAGTTGTCAGATTCATTGAGACAGAGTTGAATAGTGATTGTCAGGGGCTGGGAGAGAGGGGAAGGCAGAGTTGTTTAATGGGTACAGTTTCAGTTTCGCGAGATGGAAAAAGTTGTGGAGATCGCTTGCACAAGAATGTAAATACATGTAAAACCATTCGTTGCATGCTTAAAGATGCGTAACATGGTAAAGAGGATATACTTTATTATATTTTAGCACAAATAAAAAGCTTGATAAAATCTGAACATATAATGTCTTCACGAGGATGTGTTGATGAGTTTCTCTTCGAACTCCTACCACAGTTGTTGGTGTAGCCACTTCAGAGAGTAATTTGCCGTGTCTAGTAAGTGTGAAAAATCCATATCCCAAGTTAGCTACTCTATTTCTAGATATGCAGAGAGAAATCTCGTGTGGGAGGGGAGACATATGCAACCATGTTCATAGCAGTACTATTTCTATTAGCAAATTTTTTTTTAAAAAGGAGATATTTTAAATGTATTTCAATCAAAGAAAGGAGTGTGATGCATTCATACAGTGAGCTCCCTGTGCCCACCTGACTGAATCCTAAAGCAGCATGTGGCATGAAATCATTAGAGAGACTTACGTAAACACAGTAGACAGTGTTGTGAATGGAGGTGGCCCACAGCAGGCTTCGGGGAGCAAATCATTCTAGAGGGGATGAGTGGGGAATAGGGCAAGGGGGTGCATTGGGGGCTTTAGCAACCCTGTAATCTTTTATTTCTTTAAAGCAAATTGAGATGTGATAAGCTGAAAGCAGTGTTGCTCTGCACTGTTTTTTTTTTTTTAAAGGAAGCTTTTTAATGACAGCATGGGGCGCAGCCCCTGGTTTTCTACCGTGTTTCAGTGTGCATTTCTCCTGCCATACTGAACCATTTTTTAAAAAAAAATAAAACAAGGCCTTAACTGCCTAAGGAATCTACTATTCTTTTTAGAATGAGTTTTGTTTGTATTTTGGAGTTCCTTTGAAAGGAGGAGTTCATTAATAACTAAGGAAAAATAATGAGCTGAATGGAGCTGATTTCTGAGATGGCCTTCCTCTCTAACAGTCTGAACTTGGCATCTGATCCTGGATCGTAGGGGAATGAGTTCACTGCTCTGTCTCTGCAATTCTGATTTTTAAATCAGGGACTCTTTTGCTTTTTGTGTTGGTTGTGTTTAGGAGGCTGACTATATCTCCAGAGGGACTGTTCTACAATCCCAGGTTGTGGTTCTCTGGGCTGCAAAGATCTTGTGATAACTTGGGGCCCACACACTGAGACAGGTGGTGCCTGGGCTGTTGGACCTGCAGGGGCTAAGCCAGCCTTTCCGGTTCTGTCTTGTCATTTGAGAAATAAGGAAACTGAAACTCACAGAGCCATGACTCACCAAGGGCTTAGGTACCCCTAGGTGCTCAACAAAAGTCAGCAGACCCCCTGATACTCTCTTAACTCATCTTCTTGGGTTTTTTCCCCTCTTAAAGAGCACCCCAAGTGAACTTTAACTCCCATAATTCAGAGTAGAATTCTCTCTTGCTTTAAAACTCTCCCATGGCTTCCCATCTTGCCCAGGATGCAGTCTTCACTGTGAGCCTTGACTACCTCTCCACGCCTCTGTTTGAACATATTCCCCTTTGGCACTGGCTGCAGGTTTCTGCCCTGCCCTCTTCCAGGTTCCTAGCACACACCTGGTGGTTCTGCCCCAAGGCTTTCACACTAGCTCCCCCCACCATTACCAGATGTGCTCAGAGCTGCTGTTTGTATCAGAACTCCTGAAGTCACCTTTTAGAGAGGCTCAACCCTCCTTCTTCTCCTCCTCCTCTTCCTCCTTTTTCTCCTCCTCCTCCTCCCCCTCTTCTTTCTTCTTCTTCCCTCTCTTTTTTTTTTTTTTTTTTTTTTTGGCAGTACTGGGGCTTGAACTCAAGGCCTACCCCTTGAGCCACTCCACCAGCCCTTTTTTGTGATGGGTTTTATTCAAGATAGGATCTCTTGAACTATTTGCCGAGGCTGGCTTCAAACTGCGATCCTCCTGATCTCTGCCTCCTGAAAATGAGAGGTGTGAGTCACTGGCGCCTGGCTCATTTTTTATCTTCTTGATAGGCCTTATCATACTCTGAAGTCATTTCATTTGGTCTGTCTCTCATCTGTGTGTCCATATCCTCCCATAGGGCACGGTCTCTTTATGTCTCTAATACTGCACTTAAAGCAGTATTAGACATTTTATGTTCTTATTTTGGAGTTCCCCAATACCATCTTGGGGTTCTGTGATTAGCTAGGAGGACTTACAAGACTGGAGTGTATAATCATCCTCAATGGCTAAAAAATATGACCATAAGACACAAAGTCAAATCAACAAAGAGGAGAAGAAGGTACCTGGGGCAAAGTCCCAGGAAGCTGGGTACAAGTTTCCAAGGGTCCTCTCCCAGTAGGGTCACAACAGACACACTTAATTCCTCCAGGGTGGAGTTGTGACAGCACATGAAATGCTGTTCACCAGGGAACACTTGGTACCTGAGGTTTTATTGAGGGCTGGTCACGTAGGTACTCTCTATTTAGTAGACTCCCAGGAGCAGGCAGGTGCTCAGCATAGGTCACGTTGTTTGTACAGTCTAGGCACCATGAGTCAGGCTTATTGCCTAGGCAGAGATTTCTTTCAGCACAGGATGCTGTTTTCTGTTCAGCTTCTTCAAACAGGCCTTGCTAAAGATGGAAGTATCAGGCTTGCCAAGCTAACTTTCTCTGTAGAACACTTATTTGCTTGTTAGTTTATTTTGTGGTGCTGGGGATTCTCTGTATAATAATAAATATTTGAAAAGAAATGAATCTGAATGACTCAGACCAATGTGACTGCAGGGCCCATAGTATCAGACCTTAAGACCCCAAGGGCCCAAAGGTGAGCCCCTGCCTTGTTACCAGTCCTATGCCCAGACTGTGAAATGATATGGTGGAGGTCTGCCTGCCCTGCCCCTGGGTAAGCATGACTCTCTCCGGTCCCCAGGTGCTGAAGCACAATGGGTCATCAGAGATCCTTAACAAGCTGTATGACACGGCCATGGACAAGCTGGAGGTGGTCAAGAAGGACTATGATGCCCTGCGGAAGCGCTACAGTGAGAAGGTGGCCATTCACAACTCAGACCTGAGCCGCCTGGAGCAGCTGGGAGAGGAAAATCAGCGCCTACTGAAGCAGACAGAGATGTTGACCCAGCAGAGGGACACAGCCATCCAGCTCCAACACCAGTGTGCCCTGTCTCTGAGGAGGTAGGATCTGAGGGGGGGAGTGGCCTGAGAGTTAAATGGGTCTTTTTTCTGTGGGAGCCTTGTGGGCTTGTGGGCACCTGCAAGTCTCCTAGCCACAGTCGGGAAGAAACAGCTCAGGCTATTTTGCCTTTTCTTTTTCTTTGGGGTTACTGTGGTTTGAACTCCAGGCCTTACACTTGCTAGGCAGGCACTCTACCACTGGAGCCACTCCTCAACCTTTTTTGCTTTAGTTTATTTTTTCAGGTAGGATCTCGTGCTTTTGCCCAGGATTATCTCCTGTGCATAGGAGACATCTGTGCCTTGTTTTGTTGTCAATCAGCAAATACTTCTGTCTAGAAAACACTTTTGGACACTTACTGTGTCTTGGAAATTATGGGTCTTTCCTCCCATCTGAACCCTCTGGTGTGTGCTGAGCAGCCTGTCTGGGTCTCATCACATACCTTTCCCTCTGTGTTAGCTATTCATCTAGCAAGTGGGGAAGATAACTGTCCAGAGCAATGTGTCTCCCAGGTTTTCATTTTTATTAAGGAATGTTATCTTAAGAGATGGGGTCCCTGCCCTCCAGACAGTATTACTTAAAGCACATTCCTGCAGAGCAGTGGTTCTCTGGAGTGTTCATTGGCTTTACATGAAAAATGTTCTCTGGGTATAATTAGGTTTGGGCATTGCTAGGTTGAGTTCAGATAGGTGTCTCTGCTGCAGGACTTCTCAGAGCCTTCACTGAGTTGTTGTGCACTGCACTCTCCAGCAGGGGACCAGGGTGTGGTCACCCATGCTAAGGTCATCAGGAAACACAGTTTTTTGGATTATGATACAGCCCTGTGCAGGTTTGGTGTGGTCAGGCACACATTTTGGAAAGTTCTGGTCTAGAGTGGCAGGCTCTTATAGGCTCCCTGTGTGCAAGGTGCCTCCTGGCCTGGAAGGACTGAGCTAAGCTCATGGCATGGCCAGTGTCCACGGTGCAAGGCTGTGCTAGCTCGTAAAATGAGGTGCTCAGAGCAAGTCATCGTTAAGGCCCCTTTTATCTCTCCTGTGCTGTGATTCTGGCATTTCTTTGTTTTTGTTATTTTTTTCAAAATAATACAGCTTGACTGTGGGAGAAATGTGCTGTTATTTCTAGTAGAGTGAGGGCATGCAGTCCTCAGTTCAACTTCTGGCATTTGTAAAAGGTTAAGAAAAATTCCAGGCCCAGGGCACTAGTACTCCATGACCACTCTCCCTTGGGGGTGCAGAGGATGACCTCATCTGAAACTTCATGCTTGACTGCCCAGCACAGTGGAGCTGGCAGGAGGTAGCAGAGTAGCCAGACAGCTGACTGGGTCCCCACCCGCCCATGTCCATGCCGCCTTCTCCCCCAGGTTTGAGGCAATCCACCATGAGCTGAACAAGGCCACAGCCCAGAACAAGGACCTGCAGTGGGAAATGGAGTTGCTGCAGTCGGAGCTGACTGAGTTGAGGACCACGCAGGTGAAAACTGCCAAGGAGTCTGAGAAGTACAAGGAGGAGCGGGACGCTGTGTACAGCGAGTACAAGCTCATCATGAGTGAGCGCGACCAGGTCATCTCTGAGCTAGACAAGCTACAGACTGAGGTAGAGTTGGCTGAATCCAAGCTTAAGAGCAGCACATCTGAGAAGAAGGCGGCCAGTGAGGAGATGGAAGCCCTGCGGCAGGTAAGTGGCCGATCAGTGGGGGAGGCGGCAGCTGTAGAGCACTGAAGGTGGGGGAAGGCAGGAGGAAAAGACCTGAGAGGCTTCTTGTTGTAGGTCAAATGTTAACTGGGTTGTCAGACATCACCCTGCTTATCGCTGAGCTCAGGCTCAGTGAGCTCTAGTCTTGGCTCCAGAGGAGAAATATGAGGACATCCAGCCACAGTCCTGGACATCCAGAAGGAACATCAGATGATGTATACAGATGCTGTCACATCCAAACCCATGCCAGTGATCATAGACCATTGTGTGTGTGAAAGTGAGTGAGATCCCAGACTCGCTCATTAGGAAGCAAGATCCCAAGACCAGGCTCTCAGAGCCATAGATGTATTGGCCTCATGGGTTCAGAAGAACACCTTCAAGGGGCTGAGGATGCAGCTCAGTGGTACAGTGCTTGCCTAGCATGCATTAGGCCCTAGGTTCAATCCCCAGCACTGCAAGAAAACAAACAAACATATAAATAAAAAAGAGAAAAGCATCCTCAGGAGCTCTTTTCTACCACCTGTGTGTCTGTGACCAGGTCTTCTCTTCAAAGGTGTGCTCCAGGCTCTATTTGGGAAGATGTGCTGCTAGGCCATGCTGGAGACCCTTTTTGTTCCCTGGGGGTGATGCCTCCAGGGTTTGGTGATTAGGGTGTTCACTAATTTCAGGACTGGGTCACTCTACTCCTCTCCTGAGTGACCAGTGTGGACTCTGCATCCTTCCTACCTGGCCACCTCCAACTAATTGCTGATGTTCCTTTCCCTGAAGTCTGCATGTGCCCTGCTGGGGTGTGGACAGCCGTGGAGATTTCCTTTCTGTCCTGTCAGTCAGTGGCGTGACTGTAATTATAGCTTCTAGACTTGAGTCTAGTAGATTTCTTTCCTGTCAAAGTAGATCTTTATTCATGCCTCTTTATTCTGCTTTTCTATACTGGTTGGTTAGAATGTAGGTTTTAGAAGTGGTCTATGAGAAGTGAAAAGCAAGGGATATTAGGCTCAGGCAGAACGGCAGGGGCAGCATGGCAGATAGTCTGATCCGTTTGCTCTGTACCAGGTCCAAGGCAGTGCTGACAGACTGGGTGGGGGTGGTGGTTGTGAGGAGTGTCAAGGACAGAGACTCTGCTTGGAGATTGAGCCCTCCTGAGTCATGTGACCTCTGACCTCTCTTCACCTCTCTTGCCTCAGTTTCCTCATCTGAAGGTAGAAAGAACAGTAACATCTGTCCCACAGAATGGTCGTGATGGTCAAGTGATGTGATGTAGAAAATGCTCTCAGCATTGTGCCCACACAAGGGAGGAATGATGGGAGAATTTAATACTGTTCTGTTAGGATACAAAAGTGTTTTTGTAGGAAAAATGGGCCAAAATGGCAATTCCAAACAGAGTCTGAGATGTCTCCAGGTCATTGAAGTAAAAGTCAACATGAAGAGGAATATTTACTTTGATGAACTTTTGTTTGTTTTGTTTTATGGTGATTGACTTCAGGGCCTTGCTCATGCTACACAAGTATCCTACATTTTTTTACAGTATTGGGATTTGAACTCAGGGCCTTGTGCTTGCTAGGCAGGCATTCTACCACCTGAGCCACAACCCCAGCCCATCTCAAATCCTCTATTTTGATGACATTTTGGAAAGACCATTAAAGCAAAAGAACTTCTAATGAGTCAAGATAATGCACTAGAACTTGGTAAATGTTCTAGCTAAATCATGGACTCCTTTTCACATTCTGAGCATGCACTTGTTAGGAGGGGAAATGTCAATATCAAATAAGGAAAACAAAGTGATAAGGAAGAAAACTTTGAAAATTACCAAATCAGTCACCAAACTAAAGGTCATGGAATGTCAAACCCATACAAGGCAAGCCTGTGACAGGACAGTGAGCCAACTTGATGAGGTTTTGAGATTTTAGAAGTTACCTGTGGGAGTATGGAGAGTACAAGGAAATATGGAGCACACCCAAACTCCCTGTGGCTTTGACATTCAGTAGTGATTGTAGCTAGTGCCGAGGCCTGACATCTGAGTGGCAACCATCACTCTCTTGGCACTCAGTTGTGCCTTCAGCCTGGAGCTTGGTCCTAGCCTGTGCAGGGGGTATTGGCTGGGCATCAAGTTACCTGTCAGCTGAGGCAGGAATCTTTTCCAGGCATTGTTCTGAGTCAGCTGGCAGGAGAGATCCCCTACCTGACCCCTTCCCTGCAGCTTCCAGAACTGAAATCCTCAGCTCCTTCTCACATTATCCTGGCTTCATGCATAAGACCACTTGTGACTGGCTGGAGGAGGCTAGGTCTATAGTCTGGGCTGTCCTAGTGTTGAGGTGTGAATGGTGTGGCACCCATGAATGAACCCTACCCTGTCCAGCTGTCAGGGGTCAGCTAAGTGGGCCTTCCAGCCAGTCAAGCTCCCTGATCACAGAATGTCTTCATTTTGCTCAGCTCAGGGACTGCAGCTTTGTTTCCAGAATTGTACTTCCTTCTGCTTTCTTGTCCTCTCTTTGTAACCCTCTTTCCTGGTCATCACTTTCCCCCTTCTTATGTTCTTCTCCTGAGTGGTTTAAGGCAAAGCAAGGGTGGATAGTGGCACTGAGAGATTGGGGCCTGGCAGGGTCTTTATTGTGTCCCAGCTACCAGAGTAGGCATGTCCTTCAGCTTCTTGCAAGGCTGTCCTCCCTGCCACCAACTGACCTGGTCTAGTGAAGGCCCCTTGCTTCCAGGAGAGGAGAGGAACTGCTAGGGGTGCTAGATGGTACCCCCAGAAAACTCTGGGCCACACTGCCCTTTGAGGAATTTCTCCCAGGTTCTAACTCACTCTAGCTGGAGCACCACACCATAGAAGGGCCACCCTGGCAGGCAGTGGCTTCCCTGTCCCTGCCTTCCTGCTGCCCTGAGTGTCACAGAGCCTGTCTATAGAGGCAGAACAGCAGGGTGGAGCTTCAGAGGTATACTGCCACAGGAGAGGCTGCCCAAACAGAAGATTGGGTGCCCCCACCTGAGAGGTGTGTGCTCAGGGACCATGGCTACCACCATGTCCCACCATTTCCCTGGAACTCTTGGGTGAGCTCTCCCCCTGCTGGGGGTGGGGGTACAGTTCCAGAAACTTGTCGATGGCCTCCTTCCTGGCTAGGTGAGTGTCTTGTGAAAAATGGCCCATCTTTTACCAAGCCTGTGGCACCATGACCAGAGCCTGGCCAGAGCTTCTGTAGACTGAGATCTGATGTTGAGGGTAGCAAGATACAGAGGGAGAAACACTGGATAGAGTTAGTGGTCCACTAACAGCAGGGCTATGGGCACGTCACTTCCTGCACCCAGGATCAGACAGAGATCCTGTGGGTCATCTGGCTCCCCAGTTCCACTGTCGTTTTTGAGAAACCTCATCCTCTCCTTTCTCACTAAAGCTTCTAAGGAAACGGTATTTTGGGGTGAATTCATTTTGGAGACCAGCAGTGGGAAGGAATGGGAAATGGGGAGAGGATGGAAGCTGCCTAATTTCCCAGCCTAGCCCCTCTGTGTATTTCCACCTCTGGCCCTTGGGTGAGATTATCATTGAGAGAAAAGTGGAAGAATCTTCTAGGGAAACCAGATGTTCACGTTTCAAATATATAGTTGTACATACATTTATTATTGAACATTGAGTATATTACAAATGTGATTAATATTCATTATAACAAATTCTTGATAGAATTAATACAAAAAGTTCCTTAAGTTTTAAAAGTTAAAAAAAGATATTTTGCCAATAGCAAAGTAAACAAACATTCCATACTGCATGAAAGTATGTGTGTGGGGTAAACCAAAGCTGAAATAATTAGCACTGATTCTGAGCTACCAGAGGCCCAAAGAGTGTGTGTCATGTGTCACTCTGAAGTTAGGAGGAACTTTGTATTCAAATTTTTTCCCAGCTCCTCCTGATTGTGAGACTAGGGGTGATTATAAGCTGACTCCAGGGTTTCTACTGTCTCCTTCACCCTTTAGTCTGCGGGTGGGAACCTTAGATCTTTCTGAGTGTGTTTTGAGTAGGGGCTACTATTTCCTGTTCCACTGTGGCCTGTGTATGTCTCCTGCATCCTTTCACTTGGGATAGGGAGCCCTGCACAGAGATGCCAGGTTCAGTGCCTCTGGTGACATGTTCCTGTTTTGCAACCTTAAAGCTGGAGTGGAGCTGTTCTTGCAGTAGACATTCCTTTGTCATTCATCATCTCCCCTGTTTTCTAAGAATCACACAAGCATGAGGGGGCGGGGGGGCTTCCACCCAGGACTTCTAAGTTTTGATTTGAAATTTTATGGAGCCTATAACCCTCTATGGAGCTGACAAGATACAAGTTCTTCAAATTTCTACTTTTTAAATGAATTGAGATAGATGCACAGTATTCACCAGCAATAATACTGGAGTCTTTCATCTTTAAAAATAGCTTGGAGTGCCAGATTATATAGAAACCAGTATTGCAGACATGGGGAGAAGCTATGACCAAAACCTGCCCCTTCACTGCCTTGAATCATTGTTTTGTCATGAGAACTCTTTAAAGTATTGCGTGGACTCTGTAAGATATAAACCAGCTAAGTGGCAGGGTAGGGCCTGAACAAAACACTCCTTGGGAGGCATTCCACCAGGCTGAGACCATGGCTAAGAGCAGTTACAGTTCTGCTCCACACTTATGTGGGGCTGAGAGAGTCTGCCTTGGTCCCCTCACCTAGCATCTGTGTGCAGGAGTGGGTGTGCTGCTTCTCAGAGCCTGAGTCCCATCTCCACACTGATAGGAGGCTGCTTCCAGTCCAGAAGACTCATTCACCTCCTTCTCTGCCTGCCCCTTACCCCCAGATCAAAGACACGGTGACAATGGATGCTGGGAGAGCCAACAAGGAGGTGGAAGTCCTTCGAAAGCAATGCAAGGCTCTGTGCCAGGAACTGAAGGAAGCCCTCCAGGAGGCGGATGTGGCCAAGTGCCGGCGAGACTGGGCCTTTCAGGAGCGTGACAAGATTGTGGCAGAGCGCGATAGCATCCGGTATGGGTGCCCTAGGGCAGATTTGGGCTTTTGTCTGTCCCCGGGATGCACTGAGGTCTGTGGGGAGGGTCATAATTGTTCACCACTGGTCCAAGTAAGGTGACAAAGACCTCAGTGCCTTCCTTCTCATCCTGGCTGGCACACCAGCTTCACCTCTTGGCTTTAGAGTTTTCTATTGTGTCTCTTCTATTTTGCTTTATCTTAGGCATCCAGAGTGTGTGCTGTGTCCAGCCTTTTATCTTGGGAGGATTCTGGTAGTGAGACTGGTACACTGGAAATGCCTTCTTTCCATGTATTCAGGAGGCTCCTGTGTGCCAGGATCTTTGATCCCTTCAGCATGGAGACCTTGAGAGAGGCTGCCAGATGTATACAATCCCTGGGAAAGGCCTGAGGCAGCCTGGACAGGAGGGGTGGAGGGAATTGTGGGGGGACCTACCCGGTACACGAATGTGATGTCCAGGGCCTTAGCCAGGGCTGTGATGGGGCTTGCAGGGCATTTGTGAGGTCATCTCCCCAAAGTGTGGCATTGAAACGCAAATAAGAGGAGGGACAGGCACTGCAAATGGAGGGAGTCTGTGTGGGACGCTCACAGCAGGGGATTGTGGGTGTACTTGGGGCTTGTCACGAGAGTCAAGGAGGAAGGCTGATAAGGTCCCCGAGGGCAATTGGTGAGGGCCTCAAAAGGGATGCCAAGGGGTATGAATGTGCTACTAGGCTGGGGGAGAACCAGGCGGGCTGTGGTGGTGATGTAAGGAGTTGGCCGTTGAGGGCATTTTGGAAGGTCCCCTGTGATTATGCAGGAGAGAGACCAGTGCTCCTGGGGGCTGAGCAAGAGGGGGATGGTCAGGCCCTTCCATTGGAGAGAGCTGTGTGCCTAGTGTGGCATGTAGGCAACATGGAGGCCTGGCGGGGGCTTATTGTCTGCTCTTGCTCCAGCTTGTTCTACATGTCCTCCAGAGGGCGGTCCTGGCCCTGGCTGGGCTCTGGGCGAGGCAGGGGAGTGTTGGGGCTGTGGGGGGCTAGAGACTAGCCTTCTGGGCATACTCCTACTCTCCCCCACATTGCTAGTTCATAAATCCCCACCTCCTCTGGGTGGCCTGGGGTCTCCTCCATTGCACCTGCCTGGAGCTCAGGGCTGCAGTGGGTGAGGACTGAGTGTCTCTCATCCTGGTGGGAGGGTGGGGTGGGAGGATGGCTCTAGAAAGCCTGTGTGTGCACAGTTGAGACATTTGGTGGGTGCTGGAGTATGAAGTTCTACGAGGTGGGCTGCGGGCTTCACTGAAGATCCCATGTTAGAATAGTGAGTATGTGCAGGGAGTGGGGGGGCAGGGTCCTCAACCTGAGGTGTGGCAAGGGTGATACAGGATGAGCAGCCAGCGGTCTTTGGGATCTGACACCTGGTGACTGGTGTGTCTCTCCCCTTCCCGGGTCACACAGTGGGTTGACCTGCATGGTCTCACCCCTAGACTCACATATACTCCTGTGCCTGTGAGGATGAGACGGATGCTCGCAGGTGTTTGGGAGTGCGGAGTGCCAGGCAGTTTGCTGCCCCTGCTTCTGTACCCCTGCCCCTCACAATGACTTTGCCCTGTGCCTTCTCTACCAGGACCCTTTGTGACAACCTGAGGCGGGAGCGGGACCGGGCTGTGAGTGAGCTGGCTGAGGCTCTGCGCAGCCTGGACGACACTCGGAAACAGAAGAACGATGTTAGCCGGGAGCTTAAAGAACTCAAGTAGGCCTGGGTGGGCACCTGCCTGGGGTGGGCATGGACCTGGAGCATGGTATCCCCTCCCCGTTTAGGCCAAGGTAGCCCTGAGTGTATTGGGCAGGGGCTTGTCCTTTTGTGCAGGCCTTAACATCTGTTCCTTACACTTGTTAGTCTGTAGGATGAGTGCCAATGCGATTTCCATGTTGACTAGAAGTTCTTAGACTGCACAGAAGACAGCATTGGCCCTTTGATAAGCCCATGGAGATGGGGCAGGCACCATGTGCCAAGGCACATGGGAAAGAAGGTCCCTCCTCCCAGGCAGTCCATTTGGGCACAGGCATGCAGACAGCATCCACCATTTATTCCCCCTTCTATCCATTCACTTATTTCATAAAGATTTATTGAGTACCCACTTTGTTTGGGCAGGAACCCATGAATGACATGGTACTAAACAAGCAGATAAAGCCATTGCCCTCATGGTGCTCACAGTGCCCAGGAGGAGAGAGACTAAGGGCAGACCCATCACAGACAAGTCCATCAACAAATAAAGATAATGACAGATTGGCCATGAGTGTTTTCAAGGAAATTTTAACTACTGCTTGGTAATCCGCTCTGCTTATGTTATGTGGATGCCAATATTGTTTGCAGTGTTTGGCACCCTTTCTTTGCTCCCACCATCCTCCCAGAGGGCCATTTAAACACTTGGTGGCCCTTAGCAGTGGATTAAAAAAATCTACAGTTCAGAGCTTAAAAGTAGAAATTGGTGGAACCTAATAACCATCATGTAGTCTAGAACCATTGGAAAGCAGTGGCTCTGTCCATTCTGTGACATTTGCTGAGCTGATTTGTATGCGTTTTCAGGGAGGGGGCAGTGCGTAACTCATGTGTGCAAGTCCGAGTGTGCCGTCCTTGCACACTGAGTGATTCCTTTCAGAAGGGAGCAGCAGCTTCCCTTCTTCCTCATTCAATAAGATCTACCAAGATCAGCAGATTCATGTATTAGATAAGAACCCAGACCCACTGGAGGTGGGGCTTCAGCAGCAAAGTAACAGACTCTCCCCAGGAGCCCACCGTGGGTCTAGCAAGCAATCTGATCAAGGGTGGACTCTCTGTCAAGAGAAGCCTGGCACCTCCTGGGGGTGGTATTAGAGGTGGTTTTGCATCTTGCTTGAGCCAGAGTTGCCTGGAACTTCTGAGAAATCTGAGATTCTATTTGTTTGTTTAGCAATTTTTCACTTGTACCTCCTCTCTACCATGTGCTGTAACCAGCAGAGAGTTGGTGAAGGGTTCCTGCTGTTGTGCAGGAAGCCCCCAGTCTGTGGAAGCATTGGCATCCCACATGGTGACAGATGAGATGAGTGCAGTGAGTACCAGTGTAGAGCTTTTGGCTATGCCTCCTGGAGTGGGCTGGGACAGGAAGAGGACTTAGAGGCTAAGTAGCCTTTTAGGACTGGCCAACCAGAGTCAGCCCCAGGCAATAGCGTGAACGCAGGAGCTTGTCCCTGGGAGCAGGGACAAAAGCAGGTCACATGTGTGCCAAGAGCTCAGTGGGCAGTATGGATGAACTCAAGAGGGTAGCCGAAGCCCAGATATTAGAAAGAAGGGGTCACATGAAAGTCACTGGTGGATATGATGTTTTTGAGTCTTTTTTTCCTCTTTTAACTGGGTCTTCCTTCCCCAGAGCTAAAGTTTTAAATTTTGATGAAGTTCAATTTATTGATTTTTTTAAAACTTCTAATGGATTGTGTTATTTCTAGGAACTCTTTCTGTAACCCTAGAAATCAAAGATACTCTCCTATATTTTCTTTCTTCCTAAAACTGTTTTTGATTTGTTTGTTTTTTGCAGTGCTGGGGATAGAACCCAGGGCCTTGTACATGCTAGCCAAGCTGTACTACTGAGCTACATCCCTAGCCCTTGGTCTTTTGAGCCTGGGATATAGCTCAGGCTGGCCTCAAACTTGAGATCCTTCTGAGATCCTTGAGATTTTCACCCTCCCAAGTGCTAGAGTTATAGGCACGTGCCAAAACACCCAGTTTATCTAAAAGTTTTTTAGTTTTATGTTTTCCATTTAAATCTGTGACATATTTTGAGTTAATTTGTTTAGTTGAGGTTTGTTTTTTGCCATGGATTTTGGGCTACCCAGCATCACTGGTTGAGGATTGTCCTCTTGAATTACTTTTGTACCTTTGTATTCGTGTGCTGCCATTTCTAGGTCCCTTATTCCATTCCCTTGGTCTGTGGTCTGTGTCCCTGGCAGTGCACACGGTCTCCATCTCAGTTGCTTTACTGCAAATCTTAAAATCAGGTAGGGTGATTCCTTGCACTTCATCCTTCATTTCCAAGATGACTTTGGTTATTCTAACTCCCTTCCATGCACATTTGTCTGTCCCTCTATAAAAAAAATTTACTGACATTTTGATCTGGATTACAGCTTCTAGATAAGTTTGGGGAACATTTCAATCTTTTAGTTAAAAAAAAAAAAAGTTCCACTGTGAAAACCCACTGATAATTCAAGAAACCTTTGCCTGACCCTCCGCATGTGCATATTGGAAATGCAGTACTAGGAGGAAGGAGCCCCACTTAAATCTCAGGAATGTGCCCTTGGTTTGGAGCTGTGATTCAGGGAGATGTTGCACTGCCCAAAGCACCACAGCCCTGGCGCTCTCTGTTCACAGGGAGCAGATGGAATCCCAGCTGGAAAAGGAGGCTCGGTTCCGGCAACTGATGGCCCACAGCTCCCATGACTCCGCCATTGACACGGATTCCATGGAGTGGGAAACAGAAGTTGTTGAGTTCGAAAGGGAGACGGTGAGCTGCCTTGGTTGGCTGTGCTGCCTTGCTTTCCTGAACGTGAAGACTGTGTGGGGGAAGAGAGGATGGCCCCATGGCAGTGCTCCCATTTCACAGTTGCCAGTGTGGAGGGTCGGCTTCTCCTCCTGGGAGTGGGGATGCAGCTGCCTGAGCTGGGTTACAGCAGGTTGCTGTCCCAGGTGCTTGCAACGCACACGGAAGGTAAGGACAAGAGCAGAGCACCAGCAGAGATGCCAGCAGGATATGTGTCTGCAGTGGCCGGGGGGCAGATGGCTGCTATGCCTACACCTCCACCCCAGGGATGAGTCTGTGGCAGGTGGATTTAGGAGTCACGTTTCTCCTTCTGCATGGTAAAGTGCCGTGTTTTGACAGGAGGACATTGACTTGAAGGCACTTGGGTTTGACATGGCAGAAGGTGTGAATGAGCCTTGTTTCCCAGGGGATTGTGGCATATTCGTCACAAAAGTGGACAAAGGAAGCATTGCTGATGGCCGCTTAAGGTAAGAGTTGAGAAGGCCCAGGCCCTCCAATCTCCAGGGGAGCCAGATGGCAATAAAATGAGGGTATCCCAGCACCTGGGGATGCGCAGAGTCTGTATGAGGCCTCAGACCCAGCTGAGGTGGCTCTTAATGGAGACACTCTCAGGTGCCTCTGAATCTGGCCTTTCTCCCAGTACCAGGGCTGTCTTTTTCTTCCTGGGTAGCAAAAGACTCAGGCCTATTTGCTCATTCAATGAAATCGTGATATTAAAATAGCTTACACATTCCTTTCTACTTGCTTAAGCATTGAAGTTCAATAAGGAGGTGCAGTTATTGCCCCCCTTTACAGATGAGGACCCAGAGGCTCAGAGGGACTAGGTCCCACAGCTAGTAAGTGGCAAATCAGGATTTGAACCCAGGCGGTCTAGGTTCAGGGTATGCAAACTTACCAACTGTACACTCCTGGAAGAGGAAATCTTTCTGAATATGGATGCAGAGCACCTTTCTTTCCTTTCTGACCCCCTGAGGGAGAGTGTGGCTACTGTAGTCCCCAAGGTCTACATGGGTGCTGATCTGGCTGTGCCTCTTCTCAGGGTCAATGACTGGCTGCTGAGAATCAATGATGTGGACCTCATCAACAAGGACAAGAAACAGGCCATCAAGGCTCTTCTCAACGGGGAGGGGGCCATCAACATGGTTGTGCGGCGGAGGAAATCCCTGGGCGGGAAGGTGGTCACGCCCTTGCATATCAACCTCACTGGACAGAAAGGTAGCAAGCCTGCAGGCGTGGCAGATGACCTTTCTGGTGGAGAGGGATTGCATGTGTTTTCAGGAGCATGTCATTTCCAGGAATGAGGTGTTGATGCCATTTTAATGCTGCCCTCCTGCTCTCCTGGCAGGAGGTCATCTGGGTTCCAAGGGTCTGGGCTGGATATGGTGCTGGGCTGGCCAGGGTGCAGCTTTCGACATCCGCTTTTAGTCAACAGAGAGGAGGGGGTGGGATAACCAGGTCAGGTCATTCAGTGTTTCCTGTGGCTTGCAGATAGTGGCATCAGTCTGGAGAACGGAGTGTATGCAGCTGCCGTGGTACCTGGAAGCCCTGCTGCCAAGGAAGGATCTCTCGCTGTGGGAGACAGGATTGTTGCGGTGAGTCTCAAGGCCTTAGCCAAGCTGTCTCCCACACTTGGATGGGTTGAGCAAGAAGTCATGAGTTTATATTCACCCAGTTATGTATATTGTACATAGGACTATGTGAACACTAAATTTTTTTTACCCCTGATAGTAAATGGTAAATGCCTAAATAAATACTGTGGGCAATTAAGAACTGTAGAAAAAGTACCTCTCTGTATGGGAACTCCCAGAATGTGCCGCAGGGCAAATTCCCTGATGGGGGTTACTGGATGAAGGGCATAAGCACTGACCATTCCAGCCTCTGACTCCTGTGGTCCAGGAGGTTATGGTCCTCTCAGCCCTGTCTGCAGTGTGCAGCTAGCTTATTGCGTCACATCTTTGCCAGTGTAATTCAGGTTTGGAGGGAGCTAGAGTTTTAAAAAAAGCAGAGTGGGCACAATGAAAATTATTCACATGTGGGAAAGTCATAAAGAAATAAACAGATGACTCCACCCCTCCAAGATAACCACTCTGTAGATAATTTTTTAAAAAATCTTTTGACTTTGAAATAATGATAGATTTGTAGGAAGTGGCAGAGATAGTACAGGTAGGTCCTACATATCCTTCATCCCATGTCTCCAGTATCAAAGCTAACACACTGCTTGTGTGTGCACAGTTCCATGTGCTGTTGTCATAAGTAGTTTTGTGAGACCGTCACAGGCAGATCAGAGCTGTCCTGTCATCACAGAAGTCTCCCACTCCGTCACTCCTTTGTAGCCACATCCTCTATGCCCACTGCCTCTTTCTCTAACTTGTTCTCCACTGCTGTTAGTCTGTCATCTTGAGAGTAGTGTGTAAGTGGAATCACATAGTGTGTGACCCTAAGATAGTGCACACTGTCCTGTGAGAGCCATTCAGGTATTGTGTGTGCCAATGCAAACCACTTATTTTTCTGGGTGCTTCCCTACAGTATAGACAGATCACCACAACTTAGCTGTTGACTATCGCACATCCTTTTAGAAAAGGTTTGACCATGTCTGTAGGGAATGTGGACAGAGATTCAGGGAGATGGGCTTGAGAGATTGTTGACTCTTTGTGAATAATGGCAGTACTTCATTTCATGTGAATTTCCTACTTCACAAAGGCCCCTCACAGCCATGGTCTCCTCCCCATCCTAGGCATATGTGTTCATCTGCCACTTCACACATGACAAAGCTGGAGCTGAAAGTTCTGGTCCATGGCCCACCAGCACATGGCCAGGTGTTTCCCCGGGATTCTCAGTGCTCTGGTCCCAGACAGGCTCCTTCCCCTAGAATGATGCTAAAGGTTGCATTACATTTCCTCAGCAGCTCTTCACCTGACTTGGGCCTTACCGGGGAGGGGCTTTCTCTCCTTCACCAACTCCTGGTTCTGGCACCTCACAGAACTAGGCCTGCTGTCCACATTGGAATAACAGGTGGGGCCTGAGAGCAGGACTGAGGCTGCCCTTTCAGCAGGCCTGACTGGCTCTCTGCTCTGCCCTAGATCAATGGCATCGCACTGGACAATAAGTCTCTGAATGAATGTGAATCTCTGCTGCGCAGCTGCCAGGACTCCTTGACCCTTTCCCTCCTGAAGGTAAGGGCCCTGTACTCTGCTCCTACCATTGGAGAGTGGGCAAAGCCTCAGCTCCCTGTGCCTGAACTACTGCTCCGTGTCACCAGGATCCTTGAAAATAAGGTATTGGTTTACAAAATGCAGAGTGTGTGTGAAGTCTGGCTGGATCCTGGTTGAAAACAAAAAACAGCCATAAAGGCCATGCTGGGGACAGTGGAGCACATTTGAATCTGGTCTGGCTAACTAGATGGTCTTAGATAATTATTAGCTTCTTTAGGTCTGATGATGGCCGTGGGGATAAATAGGAGAATGGCCTTATTTGAGGAAGTACTCACTGAAGTTGTTAGGGGTGAAATGTCAAGATATTTGTAACTTACTTTCCAGTGTTCTGCGATATCAATATAGGTATAGACTAAAGACAAAAAAGACAATCTGGTAAAATATTGTTGAATCCAGTTAGTGGGTTTATGGACACTCATTAAACTTTGCTATAAGCTTTTTCTTCCCTCCCTCCCTTCCTTTCTTCCTCCCTTCCTTCCTTTTTTGCAGAAATGGGGAGTGAATTCAGGGCCTTATGCTTGCTAGGCAAGTTCTCTACCACTTGAGCCATGCCCCCAGTCCATTAGTTTTTCTACATAATTGAAATGATTAATAATAAAAAGTTGGAGGCCCAATAGGAGAAGGGGACCAGGAACTAGAGAAAAGGTTAGATCAAAAAGAATTAACCTAGAAGGTAACACACATGCACAGGAAATCAATGTGAGTCAACTCCCTGTATAGCTATCCTTATCTCAACCAGCAAAAACCCTTGTTCCTTCCTATTATTGCTTGTATTCTCTCTTCAACAAAATTAGAGATAAGGGCAAAATAGTTTCTGCCGGGTAGCGAGAGGGTGGTGGGGGAGAGGGAAGGGGCGGAGTGGGTGGTAAGGGAGGGGGTGGGGGGCAGGAGGGAGAAATGACCCAAGTGTTGTATGCACATATGAATAATAAAAAAATAAAATTAAAAAAAAAAAGTTGGAGGCCCATCCATTCACTAGGAGATGTCTTCTAAATTACTTAAGTTATTATTTTTTAAGTTAATAGACTTTTCAGGCATCATCTTAGGTTTTCAGAGCAGCTGGTCTGGGCTCTCTTATCCAAGACTCCCGTCCCCTCCCCACCCTTTGTTCCAGGTTTCCCCTATTATTTATAAGATGCATTCCTGTGAAGCTTTTTGTTCAGATGATGATACATACAACATTGATACATAGTTTATGTGAGGGTTCACTATGGATACTGTATATTCTGTGAGTTTTGACAAATACATAGTAATGTGTGTCCACCATTGCAGTATCATGCAGGATAGTTTCCTGCCCTAAAAATCCCCTGTGCTCTGCCTGTTTTGCTGCCACCTTTCCTCAAGCCCCTCATCCACCAATCCTTTTACTCTTTGCCTTTCCCAGAGTGCCTTGTGGAGCCATACAGTATGTAGCCTTTTCAGGCGGGCATCTTCATTTAATCACATGCATTTAGGGTTCCCGCTAAATGATAGCTTGCTTCTTTTTAGCCCCAGTTTGTATTCCATTGCCTGGGTGTATCATGATACATAATAGTTCTTTATGAGGGACGTTGTACAGGTGGTTGTGGACAGTGTTAAAAGTCAAGAGAATTTCATTGCTCTTCTGGAAATTCAGAGTGGCCAGGGCATGAGAAAGCATCATTTGGGTCAGGTATATACACATTTGTGTACCTTTGTATGTCTGTCTCTCTTAAAAGGTTGTGTGGCCTATTCCTGCCCATCGCTTCACTGTGGGGACAGTTTTTAGAGGCAGCTCTAGGTTCCACTATGGGGACAGGTTTCAGAGGCAACTCCAGGCCCTGCTGACTCACCTTCTCTTTCTCACTCTTCTGCAACTCCTGCTCAGGTGTTCCCTCAGAGTTCCTCGTGGAGTGGCCAGAACATCTTTGAAACCATCAAGGACTCTGAGAAGATGTTGACTTTTCGAGCCCATGGGACAGAGGTCCAGGCTCACAACAAACGGAACTTGGTACAGCACAATAATTCCACACAGACTGATATCTTCTATGCAGATCAGCTAGAAGACAGGAAGGACCTGGGCCTCCCTGGGGACAGCAGCTCCTTTCTACACAAGCCGTTCCCTGGAGGTCCCTTTCCTGTCTCCCCACAGGCCTATCCCAGTGCCTCTGATCGAAGCCTGAGCTCCTTCCGTTCAGATGCCTCTGGGGAGCGTGGCTGTGGGCTGGTGGACATGCGGAGCCGGCAGCCTCTGCTGCCCTTTGAGACTGAGGTGGGCCCTTGTGGGTCTGTGGAGGCCCCACTGGACAAGACTGAACCCGAGGGCTCCAACAGTGGTGGGACCTGGCCCAAGGCTGTGCTCAGCTCCACAGCAGGGCCAGAAAAGCTCTCTGTTTACAAGAAACCAAAGCAAAGAAAGTCCATCTTTGACCCAAACACTTTCAAACGCCCCCAGACACCCCCCAAAGTAGACTACTTGCTCCCAGGCCCTGGGCCTGCTCACTCCCCCCAGCCCTCAAAGAGGGTCGGGCCTCTTACACCCCCAAAACCCCCAAGGAGGAGCGACTCCATCAAGTTCCAGCATAGATTGGAAACTAGTTCTGAGTCAGAAGCCACTTTAGTGGGCAGCTCCCCATCTACCAGTCCCCCAAGCGCCCCACCCCCTGACATGGACCCTGAGGAACCCATGCATGCGTCACCCCCTCGCAAGGCCAGGGTCCGCATTGCCTCCAGCTACTACCCTGAAGGGGACGGGGACTCCTCCTACCTGCCAGCCAAGAAGTCCTGTGATGAGGACCTTACCTCCCAGAAGACAGATGAGCTGGGGCAGAAGCGCCGCCGGCCAAAGTCTGCTCCCAGTTTTCGGCCCAAGCTTGCTCCGGTAGTGATTCCTGCTCAGTGCCTGGAGGTAGAGCTGAGCCTGAGGTGGGGGGAAGCTGGCCATGGGAACCCTGCAAAGTAGCTCTGCATTCACATCTCAGGTTCATGCCTGACTAGCATCTTTGCTCTTGGCATGTACCTGGGGGAGTGGGCCGGGTTGGCAGGTGGATGCCACTAGGAAGCAGCCCCCACTAGGAGATAGAAAAGGGATGTGGCTGTGCATGGAAGTGGAATTGTGACATCAGAATGAACACATTCTTGGACGTAGCATTTGGCTTGCTTTTTCAGCAAGAAGCTTTTGAACTTGTACAACGAAGCCAGTTAGCATGGCCTTGCCCTGGAGGAGTTGGAGAGATGAGAGGCACACCTAAGACTCAGCCAGCAGCAGGTGGCCGATTGTGTTGTGCACTGTAGTTTGCAGAATGGGAGATTGCAGGGAGCTGAGACCCTCCCAGGCACCAGTGCACACTGCACCTGTAGACACTGTGGAGGTGTGCAGAGTTGTCATATGCCAAATGCAGGCATGCCTTCTCACCTACTCCTACAGTGTTTATGTGAAAGATGTGAGCCCTTTTCTCTGTGGTTGTTTTCTGAAGGGTTTGTAAAGGAAGTCCTTCCCTTCCAGGCATGTAAGACAGTGTGACTGAACAATGACCTCTCCTCTCTTTACTTCCTATGCTCAAGCAGGTGGAGCTCACACATGGGGGCAGGAATTGGCTTGCAAAGTTACCTGAGCATTTCATTCTGCTTAGCAGACACTCCTTGCCTTTGTTTCTGCAGGAACAGAAGTGCAGCCTAGCCAGTGGAGAGCTTTCCCCAGAGGCTCAGGAGTGGTCCCCATACTCACCAGGGCATTCTGGCCGGCATGGCAATCCCCCACTGTACCCTAACAGGCCATCTGTGGGTGAGTCAGTGGGATGGACTAGGAGGAGGGTTGGCATGAATTTAGGGCTTCCTGGTCTCTAGAGAGGGGAGCCTGCTATGTGTCTTTAGCACTGAGTTCCAGAGAACCAGGACTTGCTGCTCTGTCTGGGACAGTTGCTCCTGCATCCATGTCATGCACTCTCCTCTTGCAGCTGCGGCAATAGGAAGTATGCAAGAGTCTCCCTTTTTATAGATAGGGAAAGCCGTAGCCAAAGCCACACAGCAAATTGGTAGTTAACTCTCCCTCTAGAGCCCTTTCCCTAAAAGCCTGTGGTCACCATCCTGGTGTATGGGAGCGGGCTTGTATCAGTGCAGGGCTTTCTGGGTGCTTTGGGGAGACCATTCTCACCTAGTCCATTTCTAGGCACCGTTCCCAGGAGCATGACCCCCAGCACCACCGTGAGCTCCATCCTGAGGAACCCCATCTACACTGTGCGCAGCCACAGGGTTGGGCCCTGCAGCTCTCCACCTGTGCCCCGTGACACCGGCCCCCAGAGCTTGCCTCCCAGGTATGCAAATACACCTGGCTAGCCATGCATGTGGCACCTTTATTGTTTGGAGGCCCTCATTAGATATCCCTTCTGAAAAGTGACCAGGGGCAGTCTGCTGTCCTCAGTCAGTGGCGAGTGACTTCTAGTTCTCCAGGCATAGAGGCCTATGGGAAGAGAAGCCTCCTTGGCTAGTTGGGAAGGGGTTGGGTGGAACAGCACTGGGACTCTAGGGAAAGAGAACTTGGAGAGTGCTCTATGAGTTTATCATGCTCAGACCCTTCTGGGTCTCCGGTGGAGACCCACTGGAGGGTTTTAAGCAGACAAGATTCTCGTCATCTTGTTACACAGCCAGGGAAGACCTTGCTGGGACCTGACCACAGGCCAGCCTGATGTGGGTGGTCCCTAGACTCTGCCCACCTCTGCTTTCCTAGACATGCTATCATAAGTGAGACCCACTGTACCCTCTCCAGGGTCCTTAGTGCCTGTTCAACCCATCCTTGCCCATCTTCCTGGTCCATCAGGTTGCAGAGCCTTTCCCCATATAGCAGTCCCTTCCTCTCAAAAGAGTCAAATCCCAGTCCTATCACTAATATAGGGGGTGATACTGGCTGACCTTTCATATAGGTTCTTCTCCTGTTTTGAAGGCCCTTGGTAGATGCCACACACAAAAGTGGCTAGGGATAGTGTGCTGTCCTCAGTAAATGGCAAGTGGCTCCTCGGCCTCCCTCTTCCAGCTCAGGAAGTCCCAGGCCTGTCACTGTTTCTCCTCCTCAGCCATGCCTGCCCTTGGGCTATGTCTCCACAGGCCCTCACCTCTCTGTTCTCTCACAGCGTCCAGCACCAGGGTCGCCTGAGTCTGGACCTGAGCCATAGGCCCTGCAATGACTACTCTGAGATGAGAGCCTCCCATGGGTCCAATTCGCTGCCCTCCAGTGCCCGCCTCGGTAATTATGCCACTTGGACCCTCTGCTGTGGTGGGTGCCCAGATCTCCTGGTGGGCTGCACTCATGGGCCCCATCTCCCTCCTGGGACTCAGCTCAGCTCCTTCCCTTGAAGAGCTGACACCTTTTTGGGCTTGTCATGCCCATGGTGTGCTAAAAGCCATCACCTCTGCCCACACCCTTCTTTGGTGACCTTGTGGTTGCTTTAGATGATCCTGTGGCTAAAGCCTTGTTCCCTGTTCTGGCTCATGGGGCATTCTGGGATAATCTGTATGGCCAGTCACTTAGGGAAAATGTAACCCAGAGTATAGTATCATGTGCCCTGGTAAAGATACCCTGGATGAAGTCTTTGGGGGCTGGAAAGAGAAGGCAGAGCAGTTACCCTCATCACTGGTTCTGTTGGGTTTTGGAGCTGGCAGTGCCACATGTGCTCTTATTCTGTAGCAGTCCTGGCCTGGTCAGTTCCTTCCAACCCTAGGGGCCAAGTGTCTTCTCAACTCTTCCACATCTTGGCTCCTGTGGGGATGCATGGCAGGGCCTAGCTGTGCATGTTACCATCCTCACCGCTAAGTAGTAGCAAAGTGTGAGGGGTGGTTTTTAACTATGGGGTCTGACGCTTTGTCTCCTCGTGGAACAATAGGGTCTTCCAGTAACCTGCAGTTCAAGGCAGAACGCATTAAGATCCCGTTAACTCCAAGATACCCTCGGTCTGTCATGGGCTCTGACAGAGGTAAGAACTGAGCTCACCCTCCCGTACTTGGCCTGCTGTTTTGTTTTGTCCTTCCACGGAGTCCCTGGGCACAACTTCATCTAACCATCTAGGTTGTAGTCATCCCAGTCAGTCAGCGGAGGTTCTCTGAGCCAGCCTTAGGCCTGGTGCTGTGGGAATGGGAAGCAATGGGGCCCAGCATCAGAGCCCAGGCCATGTGGTTCAGTCCACATGAAGCCTGTGTCTGGATGGCAGAGCATGGCTACATCACCTCCTCTCTCTTGGCAGGCTCACTGTCATATTCTGAATGCAGCACCCCACCCCGGTCACCCCTGAGTGTTGATACCCTGTCCTCCTGTAGCCAGCCTCATACCTCAGCCTCCACATTGCCCAGGATTGCTGTCAACCCTGCATCCCTTGGGGAGCGGAGAAAGGACAGGTGAGTGTGCATGGGCATTGGGGCAAACCAGTGGGTGGTGCGTGTGGATAGCAGACCAGGGCTTATGCTAGAGAGAGGGCTTACTAGTGAAAGCATCAGGAGTCTAGCCACTCTAGCTTGGGTCACCTAGCATCCACTGGTGTCCTGATCAGCACATCACCTGTGTGTCCCCTGTGGCACTTGTAGTTACTGTGGCCCAGCATGGCCCTGGCAGGAAGGTGGATGGCAGGGACAGCGTGGGGTAGGCTCCTCTCACTCAGCATTGATAGCAACTGAGACTGGAGATGACCTGGAGGTGACGGGCCAGATACTACTTCCTGGGCCCATGTTTAAGCACTTTCCACATATTAAGTTATGAAAGCCTCACAATCACCCTTTGAGTATTACTATTATTAATCCCATTTTACAGATGAGAAAACTGGGTCCAGAGAGCTGGACCTTCGGGCCAGGTGTCCAGTTGCTTCCTCTGCAGAGTCCCTCACCCCAGCTGCCAACACACTGCACACGCCTCCCCCTTCTATGTTCTCAGTAGAACTTTCTAGGTCATATTTATATTTAAAGGCTCCATCTAGATCATATTTGACTTGAAAATCTGAACTTGTGAAACAAGAGATCCAGCAAATATTAGCTAGAGGATCTGAGGGGAGCAGAGGTACCCAAACCCTAGGTTGGCCCTAGGGGATCAGGCTCAGTCCATAGGAAAATGTCCACAAGTCATTCCCTATGTGACACACATGGGATTGCTGAGGGGTGGCTGGCCGGCCGTCATTCTGGCTTCTCATTGAGAGATAAAGACCTTCCCCAAGTGAAGTGCATCCTTAATCATAGGAAGGGCTTGGTCACTTGCCATCAAGCAGCTGCTCAGCTCCCTGCGGTGGACACAGAGCCAGGAACTGCTTGGAGAGAAAAAGTGTGAGCGGTTTGTGCCCTCATGCTGCTTACACCATCAGACACAAGTTAACCTGAGTGACCTGAGCAAGAGCTTACTAATTAATCCCAGTCCCTTTCTTGATAATGTAGTTCCCTGTCATATACTCATTACAGAAAATTGGGAAAATTAGAAACATGGAAAGACGAAAAATGCTACATACCAATTTATAATCACCTTTTGATACATACAATATATATTTTAATGCTTGTTTTACTTATTTATGTTATTTTATGTCCATAATCACATCTCCTTTAGAATTATGTTCTAAGTGATTTGTAATATTATCAGGACACTTTATAAACCTGTTTTCAGAGAAGCCATGTTGTGCTAAGAAAACAGCATTAAAAAAATTTAAACTGTTCAGAGGATTAAGAAGAAAAGATTACCTCAAATCCCTCTTGTAGAGATGCCCATTGTTCCATCTTGGTGTGGTCCTCCGTAGAAATCGGCCTGTGCACGAGTACAGATGTGTGTGTGGGTTACTGTAGTGGAATTATTCCCTTCTGACTTTGCACTCCAGTGCAGGTCCTCTGTGCCTTTCCATGCCAGGAAGTACTGATTTATAGGCTCATCTATGGCTTAATGGCTTCTGTGTGGCTGTCATTATGACTTGGTTACCTGCTCCTGTATTGAGATGAATGTGTTATGTGGAGGTGGAGCAGAGGAAAGGGTAATCAGCGAGGGATGATGACTCAAGCTCTGCCCTCACCTGTGAGCATCACTTGGGACTCTGCCCCATTATCTTAGGTTGTGGTATGAGGATACCTGCCAAGGGTTCTTGCCACTCTAAACCACCTGACGCTCTAACACATGTTGAGCTATGGAGGTGAGTGTGGATGCAGACCAGGATGGAGCTCAAGGGGAGGACTGCAGAGTTAGTGAATTTGGAAAGTGAGAATACCTGGGAGGATGGTGGAAAGCAAGGACAATTTAAGAATTTTAATCTCTGCTTATTCCAAGATTGCTGGGCCCTGAGCTGTGGAGACCAGGCTATGACCTGCTGAGCTTGTGAACTGCTCTGCCTCTCTGGCAGGGGTGTGTAGTTCAGGCCTCTCATGTGGATCTGTCGATGGGCTCTCCAGGGAACCTAAGAGATGGGTGTCAGGCTGGATCCCTCCCTCAGCCTTTGGCCCACTTTATCCTTCATGTTCTGGAGGAAGGAGGCAGGGGCAGGGCGGGGGTGCTGCTCCAGCCCCAGGGGAAGGACTTGGTATTCCTCTGTTGTCTTTTCTGTGTGTGTGTGTTGCTGGTGTCTGGGCCATCTTCCTTCTCTGAAAGTTCCTTTTCTCCTCTCTAACTTTTGTCCATCCAGGTGTTTCTTCCACCACAGATCTCTTCTGAGGCTGCCCGTGGCCACCAGGCCCAGGTCCTCCTCGCTGAGGAGTCTGAGGTTGGCCTGACATGAGGCTCCCATGTGCCCCTGCTCCTCGTGCCCTTGGGCATGGTGGATGACTCCCTGGCAGCAAGTGCATGATCACAGCCTTGCTGGGAGCCTCCCTGCTCCCCCCTTTTTCATGGCTTGGGTTTGCAGCTGCTCAATTTCCATGATTAGTTTGCATCATCCTATATAGCCAGTAAATATGAAAACTGATAGTTTATGTCATCTCTTCCAAAACAAGTATCATTCCAGAAGCCATCTCTTTTCGCCAGTGGGTTCCTTGAGAACCCCCTCCCCTGGGGGTTTGTACATTGCATGTCCTGAAGAAACTCCTTTCATAAAACAAATTTTGCTTGGTTTTTTTTTCCCTGTATCAATGTTTGTAGTTCTCTTGGATTGTTCTCTGTCTTTGATGCTATGTGTTTCCATGTTCATCTGGATGTGTGGTGTTTGTATTGCATGAAATTTCAAGAACGTATATCATTTGTCATACAGCAGCTGGCTCATCATGTACCTATCCAGCTATGTCATTATAGGAGCACCCAGGCGCCACGTCCTCTCTGCATATCTACTCATGTGCCTGATCTCACCTCTCCCGACGTGTTTCCTTTGAGTCTGAGTCTCTGAAATCTTTGGCTCTTTTTCCAAGGCCTTATGTGGAGGAACCACGCCATGTGAAGGTGCAGAAGGGCCCAGAGCCACTGGGCATCTCCATTGTGAGTGGAGAGAAGGGTGGTATCTATGTCTCCAAGGTGACCGCAGGGAGCATTGCCCACCAGGCCGGCCTTGAGTATGGGGACCAGTTACTTGAGGTAAGAGGGAGTGGCCCTTCTTCTCTTCCTCCTCTCCTCTTCTCCTGAAAAAGTAGTGCTCCCAAGTCTGTGTCCACAGCCTCAGCCTCTGCCCCATCACTGAGCTCACCCTGGGTGTCTCCCCAGTTCAATGGAATAAACCTGCGGAGTGCCACCGAACAGCAGGCCCGGCTCATCATTGGGCAGCAGTGTGACACCATCACTATCCTGGCCCAGTATAACCCTCATATGCACCAACTCAGCAGCCACTCCCGCTCCAGGTGAGCTTTGGGCCCTCCCAGGGGCCATCTGGGCTAGGGCTGAGAGGTAGATGCTCACTGTGGGGAACTCAGGACACCAGTTGCAAGTTGTGGGATTCTGCTGCTGGTAAGGGGAGTTGAGTAGCCTTGGGTTATGAAAAAGAGCATATATAGAGAGGATGTCTCCTCCTGAAATGAGATAGGGAAACAGATGGCCAGGATCCCACTGTCTGGAGGGGGCCTGTGGTAGCCAGGAGCCGAGACCCTAGGGTGGGATTCTCATTTAGTGGTTGGCTCTCTGTCTGCAGGCAGATGCGGGACACCTGCCTGTATCAACCCCTATGTGCTGGGTCACAGGATAGACGGAGGGGGTGGGGGTGGGGGGGCTACATGCCCTGCAGGGCCGCATCACTTGACTCAGGAGAAGCAGAGGGAAAGGGTCAGTAGCTTCACGTTGTCCTTTAGGCTGGACACCTTTGGAGAGGATCCCTGAGTTGAGGACTGGCAGATCCTATGGCGCAGATGACATAAGTCCAAGTTCCTGATGTGTCTGCCTTGGCTCAGGGCACAGAGCTATGGCCAAGCTGGTCACTACTGCAGAGGGAGTGGCTCAGAGTAGCTGTGTGCCTCTCCTTATGCCTCCTGTCTTCCATCCCCAGCTCCCACTTGGACCCTGTTGGTGCCCACTCCACTCTCCAGGGCAACGGTGCCACCACCCCAGAGCATCCCTCTGTCATTGACCCACTGATGGAACAGGACGAGGGCCCTGGCACCCCTCCAGCTAAGCAGAGCACCCCAAGCTCCAGGTCAGCAGATGCAGGCCGTGGGTCTCCTTTTGTCTACCTGTCCGAGTGGCCTAGCCCATCCTTACGGGTCATGGGCACAGGGCAGCCAGGCTTGCCTTGTGCTACCCAGCACATACCTAGTCCTCAGGATTTGGATGGGAGAGTCCTCTCTCTTTTTTCCTCCCTCGTTTTCTACCTTCTTCACTTCTCTTCCTTGTTTCCTCACTGACTTGTTTGCTGCCTACCTTCTTCTCTATCTTCCCTTTCTTGTTTGCTCATTTTCTAATTCTCTCCAGACACAATTCCACAGTCATCGCCAGCTCGCCCCTGATCATCAGCAGCAGTGTTGCACCCAAGGAGGAAACAGGCCAGGGCCAGAGTATGTGAGGCCAGTCACAGTGCTGTGAGGGGCACTGTAGGATTCTGCGGAGCAGTCAGGAGGTGCATGGACTCTGGCAGGGAGAGGTGACAGACAGCTAGGTGCAAATGTTTAGGAGCAGCCTCTGCAGATAAGCCAGGCAGAGGGAGCAGCATCAGGAGTAGTCAGGTGTGCTTGTGGGAGCTACATGTCCATCAGCCTGACCTTGGACTGAAGGGATTAGAAGAGGGCTGGTCAGGCCAGGGTGTGATACAGTCTCTCTTCAGTCCTGCTAGGGCCACTTCTCCAGCAAAGCCCCACATTTCCCTAAGTGAGGCAGCTCTGCACTCTGACACCAAGGATCAGTCCCACTGAACAACAAGATTTTAGCCACAGGCTGACTTCTCCCCGAAGGTCCCCCTTGTCAGCCTCGCCACTTTCCCTGCTTCGCTCAGGTTGTTGGCAGCCTGTTTTCAGCTTCCGTCATTGACTTAAGTTCTTGATGGCAAGGCACCTGCCTGAGTTGATGCAGGGAGATGTTGTTGAAGCTGTCATGCTGTGGACAGTGAGGCACATGCTACCTTTCCTTAGGCAGAACTAAGGCAGACAAGAATAGTCCAGGTGTGAGGGATGCCTCCTAAGGCATGGGAGTGACACTGGGCCCGGAAAGCAGGGTCATTGTCTTCAGCTCTGTCCCTTACTGGCTTTGCAGCCTAGGGCCTTGCTTTCATTCCTACTACCCCTCAGCCTCCTGCCCCATACACTGAAAAAGTCAGCCGAACTCAGCCTGTGGTCTGTAAAGCACACAGGCGGCAGGGCCTTGTGCATGCCTTCTTCCCTCCTGTGCATGATTGAGGGCCTTCGTTTTCCTTCCTGAAAGAATGGTAGGCGATGTCAGCAAGAAGACCCCAGAGCCACGCGTTGTCTTCCTCAAAAAGACCCAGCTGGAGCTTGGAGTGCACTTGTGCGGCGGAAATCTGCATGGAGTCTTTGTGGCCGAGGTGGAGGATGGTAGTCCTGCTAAGGGTCCTGATGGCCTCATGCCAGGGGACCTTATCCTTGAGGTGAGTCTGCCACTGAGCAAGCCAGTCTCAAGTCAGGCTTGTACCCTCTCAGGAGACACAGGAGATGGCGGGAGCACAGCAGTCTTTACCTGGCAACTTGTCAGGACTGTTTATTCATCCTTGTAAACCCAAAGGTTAAAAAAAAAGGGTACCGAGCCCCTCTGGGAAGCTACCAAGAGAACCCAAGGGCTCAACTCCAGCTAGGGCCCTGGCGGCCGGAAGGAGACGCTCACTCTCAGAGCCGGAGGGAGGATGTTCTCTTCCTCCCTGTGCCTCCCGTCTCCTGGGGGAGCTGGCATGGAGGTGGTAAAGGTGTGGTTTCACAAGCAGGAGATAAGGGTGGAGCAGATGAGGGGACATTGACTGTCCACCTTGGTGCCATAACTGGCCCCACCAGGGTGCGAGCTGCCTCTGGCTACTTCCTTCTGATCCCTGCACCCTGTCCTTGGTCAGTATGGTAACCTAGACATGCGTAACAAGACAGTTGAGGAGGTCTACGTAGAGATGCTGAAGCCCAAAGATGGCATCCGCCTAAAGGTGCAGTACCGCCCAGAGGAGTTCACCAGGATCAAGGGCCTGCCTGGTGACAGCTTCTACATCAGGTACTATCCCAGTGAGGGATGTGGGGCCAGGGAAGGGGATCTCTGTTCCTTGCCTCCAAGTCTGAGGCCATCATTGGCATTACTCATGTCGATGCCTTTTACTTAGGGAAACCCTTGAGGGCCTCAGGGCTCCTCTATGGGTTAGGACCTCGGGAATTTTGAGGCCACTGTGCTCTGTTTTCCTGTAGGCTACACTCCTGCTTTGGTCTCCCCATCCAAGATCTGCAGAATTATCTGCACTGTGTGGATTTCAGGCACCATCATACCCATAGGCACTGCCCAGAATGCGACACATGAGGCAGCATCAGCAGGGAGCAGGGGTGGGAGTTGCTCAGAACTTCTTTTGTGTTCCCTGAGGTCTGAGATCACAGGAAGGATGAAAGCGGTGATGAGCGACCACTATCTGTGCTAAGGTGGGAGGTGACATATTTCCATTCTAGAGAGTTTACAATCCATGGGGACTAGGAGCCTTGACTTCTGGGAGAGAGACAGATGGAAAAAGTCCATTTGGAAGGCATGTATGACCCTGTTCTTAGCAGGAAGGTCTCTTTCTGATGAGGTGAGCCTTCAGTCTTAGAGAGTCTGTCCCATTTTGCAAAGGACGGGGATCCCCCTTTTGGGAAACACCACCAGACAGAATCCTATTTCTGATGGTGCTCAGAAGAGAGTAGCAGCCTTGGGAGCCTGGCTGCAAAGGCCTGGGCATGGCCTCCTGATGGAATGCTTTCTGTCCTGTGGGCCAGGGCCCTATATGACCGGCTGGCAGAGGTGGAGCCTGAGCTGAGCTTTAAGAAAGATGACATCCTCTATGTGGATGACACCTTGCCCCAGGGCACATTTGGGTCTTGGATGGCCTGGCAACTGGATGAGAATGCCCAGAAGATCCAGCGTGGACAGATTCCCAGCAAGTATGTGTAAGTGTTCTGCATCTCTGAGTGGGGACAGCATAGAGCTGTCCCATGAGTGACCACCGGAGGACTGGCTGTCTCTCATCTCAGCTTCTGGGCTATATATCTCTTGTCAAATCGAATATTCAGAAAGCTGCTACTAGCAGGAGTTGGTATACAAAATCATGGTGGCAAGTCAGGAGGTATAACTTATTTTTCCAAACAGTTTGATGGAACTGTAGTTCGCATGGCATATAACTACCCCAAAGTGGATAATTCAGCAGTCTAGTATATTCACAGATATGTGCAACCATCTCCAGTTAGTTTTAGGCATATTTATCACTTCAGAAAGAAACCATATACCTGTTAGGTGTTATCTTTTGCTGTAACAAAATACCTGAAGCTGGAAATGTACAAAGAAAAGAGGTTTATGTAGCTCTCATTTCTGGACGCTGAAAGTGCAAGATCATGTGGCCCCATCTGTTCAGCCTTTGGTGAGGCCTCCTTGGCTGTGTCTTGTGGTGGGTAACCAACCTTATGCAGAAGGAAGGGATCACATGGCAAGACAGCAAACAACTTGCTCTTCCTATAACAACACACTCCTGCAGGAGCTGACTGAGTTCTGTGAGGACTGTGTCAATCCCTTCCGATGGCAGTGCTCGAGGATCTAATCTCAAACTTCCTCCATCTCAGCACTGCCATACTGTGGACCAAGCCTCCAGCACATAAGCCCTTGGGGGGGGGGGGTTCACTGAAACCATGTCCAATCATAGCACCCCAATCCCTCTGTCCTCCCCGCAAGTCTAGCTAAGCAGTCAGTAATCTGCAGTCACTTCAGGTCTCCCTGCTGAGGACACGTGTGAATGCAGCTCCATACTGCATGGCCTTTTTGTCTGGCCCCTTTCACCAATTACAGGCTGCCCTGAGCTGAGTGCATGGTGGTTGGGACTCACCTGCCCCAGAGCTGACTGTGTGCTGCCTGTCCCCCTGCAGTTGTGGTACCAGGGGTCCTCAGCATCGGAGGGGCAGTGACCAGGAGCCTGAAGTGTGTGGAGGAGCCTGGCTCCCGAGCCACTCCCACTTTCTTCACTGTCCCCATGGCCCTCTCCAGCTTTGTGATTTCCTCTGACCACAGGATGGACCAAGAATTCTCCAGGAGGCTCAGCATGTCCGAGGTCAGAGATGACAGCAGTGCTGCAAAGACGCTGTCAGCAGCCGCACGCCGGTCCTTCTTTCGAAGGAAACATAAGCACAAGCGCAGCGGGTCCAAAGATGGGAAGGACCTCCTCACGCTCGATGCTTTTTCCAGTGACTCCATTCCACTCTTTGAAGGCAAGTGATGGAGCTTGTTTTGCAGTGGGCTCTCCTGGGGGGACTGCCAAAGCTCTACCCCAGGGACTTAAACAAGATAGAAGTTCACTTGGCTTTTGCACACAGGTCTGTGTTGGTCAGGTGGTGCTGCTGTCTTCAGTCTCCCAGCCAATAGAATGTGGCTTCCATCCTCATGGTCTCTTCATGGTCACCATGTGTTACTGCAGGTCCAGCCATCATGTCCCTGTTTTAGGCAGTAGAACAGAGGAAGAGGCAAGGCAAAAGTGTATCTCAGCTGAGTGTGCCTTTTAAAACAGCTTATCTGGAACTCTACTCAACTACTACTTACATATCCTTGTCCACTCACATCTTCAAAGGATGCATGTTTTAGCTGGGAGCATCACTGACCTCAACAGCACCAGTCCTGTTAGTAAGGAAGAAAGGAGAAGCAGGTGCTAAGCAGGTGAAAAACAGTCTCTGCTTCATACATTGCTTCTCATTTGTGCTTGGGAGTGACCATGGGCTACCAGTGTGTGCACATCTTTGTCCTCTCTGACCTCACTCCTGTGTTCATCTGGGATTTTGGTAAGATTCTCCCAGGCAGAATGCTAATCCAGGATCCCCCAGCAGATGTCCTTTGAGGATGGATGCATTGGTCCTGTGAAGGAGGAAGCCCTTGTAAATGCAGTTCCCAGGGTCCTGTGTATCCACTGTCCTTGGGTGTGTCCTCTCAGGTGGGGAGGGAGTGGGCTCAGTAAGCAGCGGAAGGTAGGACCACTGGCCTGCTCCTTCCTTCCCACCTCTTCTCTTTAAAATTATGGCCCTAGACCTAGTGGGTCCTGCTTATAGCTTATGGTTTACTGTCACCATCAGGTGAAAAAAGGCTAGACAGGTCACAGCCTATGGGCCAGGTCTGGTCTACTGCCTGTTTGTGCAGCCTCTGAGCTGAGCACAGGTTTTTACACTTTAAACTTAACATGTTAAAATGACCATTAGCCATTTGATGTTAACGTTGGCTCAATTATGCCTTTTTGTCTTCAAAGCCTAAAATATTTACTGTCTAGCCCTTTATAGAGTAAGTTTGCTGGCCTGTTAATCAAGGGAGGGTTTCTTTGTCCTTTTGTGTCTTGGTTTTTTCCATTCTGGTCTCAGACTCCCCCTGCTCCTTCCTCCTGTGGACACCATCTCTGATGTATTTGGTATGTGTGCAACAGATATGTTTATATCTTTGAATAGTATCCATTTACCTGGGTGTGGTGGTGCCAACCACAGGGGACACCAGACTGACACCAGCCTGGGGTACATGTATAAATAACCCTGTTTCAAAAAAAAAAGCAGTTTGTATGTTTTTTCTTTTACTTCTTCAGTTGTTTCACACCATTGGTTTTTAGGTTATAGCTTAGGTGTATACGCCTTTGGATTTTCCTATCTTCCTTGCAAGCTGACCCTCCTGTCATTACAGAGTCTTCCCGGTTTCTGGTAATGTCTTTTCCAAAAGGTGTATTTTATGTGATGTTTTTATTTTCATACCAGTTTTCTTTTGGTTAATGTTCACACAGTTCATCTTTTCCTGTCTTGTACTTTAAATTTTCTGTAGCTTTATATTTTCATATCTATTTACATAAAAGCATATGGCTTTTATTTTAATGCATAGTGGCAATCTGTTTTTAAAAGCATTTTTTCAAAATATGGCCCATAGAGAAAAGTATGCCTGCTTTTACAGAAAAGTGAACACTGAAGACACCGTGCATGCTGCTTAACCAGAGCTTTTACTGTCACACGCAGCGTAGTGCGCACTAAGGAGCAAACCCCACCCCTTTTTTTTGTCTGTCTTACCTGGTGTATGTTCATCTTCTCTGCTTGTTTTGGATTGATCGAGTATTTCTGTTACGCCATCCCACCCGTTGATTAGTTTTTAGCTGTTTGTTTTTACTAAATTTTTCAGTAGCCCTCACAGCATGAAACTGATTTACTGCCTTGAGCACTTCACCAGAACTCTGACACACCGGCTCACTCTTAACTCCGGCTCACTCTTAACTCCACTTCCCAGCTTCCCAACTCTGACGGTCCGACCATTTTAACTCCTCACATATCTTAAACTCAAAGTAGTGGTATTCAGTGACATACCAGTTGTTTGCTTTTACCCTTTCCATCACTCTGCCTTCCTTTAGCAGTTCTGGTTTCACTTCTTTCTGCTAAACAACTCCCTTCAGCAGTTCTGGTTTCACTTCTTTCTGCTAAACAACTCCCTTCAGCATTTCTTGTAATACCAGGTTCGTTGGTGACAAATTCAGTTTTTGTCTGAAGATGTCTATTTTACCATCATTTTTGGAGCTTTTCACTGGATATAGAATTTTAGATCACTGTTTATGGTCCTCCCACAGTATCCACAGGGGCTTACAGCTCAAGTCCCTTACGTAAAATGGTAAAGTGATACTTGCACGTGACCTATGCAATCCTTTCAATCTTCTCTAGATCACTTATAATACCTGACACCATGTAAATGCTAGGTCAACAGTTGTCACACACTATTGTTCAGGGAATAGCAACAAGAAAAATCTGTATGTGTTCATTACAGTCTTTTTCCATATATCTAGCTACTGACAGATAGAAGATAGAGGGTTTTTTTTTTTTTTCCTTGTACTGGGATATGAACTTAGGGCCTTATGCTTGCTAGGCAGGCACTCTACCACTTGAGCCACACCCCCAGCCCTTTCTGTGTTAGTTTGTTTTTCAGATATGGTCTCCTAATTTTTTGCCTGGAGCTAGCGTTGGACCTCAATTCTCCTACCGTCACCTCCTATATAGCTGGAATAGGTGTGAACCACCAAGCCCAACTTGGGCTTTTTATGGGAGGGGGACAGTACTGGATTTGAACTCAGGGCCTTGCACTTGCTAGGCAGGTGCTCTTCTACTTGAGCCACACTCCCAGCCCTCCCAGCTTGTTTTTTGGGATACAGTTGCACCAAATTTTTGCCCTTCTGTCTTTGAACTGTGATCTTCCCATCTGTGTCTCCCGAATAGCTGGGATTATAGGTGTGAGCCACAATGTTCCCTGAATATTTTCAATTTGTAATTGGTTGAATCCATGGATGCAAAACCTGTGGATACAGAGGACCAACTGCATTTTATTTAAGCACTTTAAAGAATTCATTATTTGCTCTGGCCCTCATTTTCAATGGCTGCTGTCCAAATTACCATAAGCCACGTGGCTTAAAACAATGCACATTTATTTTGGAGGCCAGAGGTCCAAAACCAGTACCACTAGGCCAAGGTCCAGGTGTTGGCAGGACCACGCCTCCTCTGAGGCTTGAGGGGAGAATCCTTTCCTTGCCTCCTCCAGCTCCTAGTGATGACTCCTTCATTTCTTTGCTTGTGGCCACATCACCAATATCTTCAAACCCTTCTCCTCCATTTTCGCATCACCTTCTCTTTCATGTTTTTCTGTCTCAGAATTCCCTGTGCCACTATAAGGATACCTGTGACTGTGTTTGAGGCCCACCCAGATAACTCAGGCTAAGCTCTTTCTCTTGGGTTCTTTAATTATCACATTTTGTTATAAAAGGTAATAGGCAAAGGTTCTGAAGATTAGGGAGGAAGTGAACCAATCCTTTTGGATGCTTTTCAGCCTGCCACGTGATATTTCTGGTGAGAGTCTTCCCTGCTGTCCTTGTGCTGAAGGTAATATATCCCCCATCCCCCAGCTGTTTTTAGCGTTTTCTCTATTTGCAGCAATCCAACTATGAAGTGCTGCCCAGGTGCACTTGGTACTGCTTAGATGGTTCTTGGCATTTCTTAACGCTGTAACATGGTGTTATAGAACATTCTTGGCCATCATATCTTTTTTTTTTTGTTTTTTTTTTGGCAGTGCTGGAGTTTGAATTTGGGGCCTTATGCTTTTGTGCTTGCTAGGCAGACCCTCTACCACTTGAGCCATGCCCCAACCCTTGGCTACCATTTCTTTAAAAATGCTTCTGTGGTCTTCGTGCCTCTCCTGCATCTTAGTTCTTTGGCCAGACCTTGTATATCTTGCAGCTTCTATCTCCACGTGCCGCCGCCCCCCCACCCCAGTATTTTCCATCTCTTTTCTCTAGATGCTTCTACTAGCCCATATGTCTCCTACTGACCTTTTCCCTGTTCGTGGTTCTTCTCTTCTGTTGTGTCCAATATGTTGTTAACTTTTGAAACTGTGCTGTCTAGTTCTAGAGTTTCCATTTGATTCTTTTTTAATGGACTTTAATTCTCTGCCAAGATTTTCCATCTTGTTGTCTGCTCTCCTAAATAGACAAGCACGTGTTTGTGAGGGCTGCTTGGTAACTGTCATGTCTAATCATCCCTGAGTCTGTTTCTTGTTGACTTTGCTTTTCTTGTTCTTGCTTCTTGGTATGCTTGGAAATTGTTTAAAATGTCAAGAATTACGAATAGGAAATGTTAAGACTCTGAATGATGTTCCTGCCCTCCAGGGAGGGTTGGCCCTGACCTGTACATACAGCACTGATCTCATCTCTGGCAGGGCTGCAGCTTCTGTTTGGTTATGATTCACCCTGACCCTAGTGGTGGCCCTCAGGTCCAAGCCAAGAGCCTAGGGGGTTCCACAGGGCCCCTCGACTCCCAGGTTTCCTCTTCAGCCCATAAGACCACAGAACAGCCTGCTCTGTGCTTTGGTGACTGTCATAGATACTTTGCCTCTTGCTCCGCACACACCCAAATTATAAATTTGACAACTGACTTTAAGGGAAAATGTCTAACATCAGACTTAGTTCTTTGTCCCCTCCTTACTCTCAGGTACTAGCTGTGTAGATTTGGACTAATCCAGATGTTCCCCAAAACTCTGCCTGGGTGTTCAAGTTCTTGTTAGTGTCTGTTTGCACTATATTTATGCATGGGGTATTTATTCCAAAGGAATAAGGAGAATAGCATAAATAGCATGGGTGCATTCCAGAAGCAACCTGAGGGAGTTAAAAAAATATTTACAGATCACGTCATGTTTGTTGAACTCAAATACATACACAATGTGTTTTCTAAGCATGTAAAAATCAAATGGGGTGCCATGGCTCATGCCTGTCATTGCAGCTACTTGGGAAGTATAGATAGGAGGATCATGGTTCAAGGCCAGCCCCACTGAAAATTTGAGACCTGGCCGGGCACCAGCGGCCCACACTGATAATCCTGGCTACTCAGGAAACCACTGTTCAGGGCCAGCCCAGGCAAACAGTTAGCAAGAACCCATCTCAGTCAATAGCTGGCTGCAGTGCCTGTCATCCCAGGTATGGTGGCAAGTGTAAAAAGAGGAGGATCATAGTCCAAGTGGGCCTAGCTAAAAGATGTAAGTCCCTGTCTAAAAAGTAACTAAAGCAAAAAGGGCTGGAGGCCTGGCTCAAGTCGTAGAGCACCTGCTTAGCAAGCTTGATGCCCTGAGTTCAAATTCCAGTACTGTCTCCCCTCCCCCCAGTCAACTTACAAAAATAACAGAGACATGGAATGTCATACTTACAGCTCACAGTAATGGTTGCTTCTGCGGAGGCCAGGGGGAATGGGTGTTGGGAAGAGCTCTGGTTTTCAAAAGAGGACACATGGGGTTCAAAGGTGGTGAAAATGTCTTAAATCCCTTGCTTGCTTTTTAAGCCATAGACTAGCAGGCACCAGGCTGGGAAGTGCCATATAGAAAGCTGGGAAGGTGTATGTGGTTAATCCTCAGTCTTAAAATGCATGCCTGTAGGGGTGTAGTGAGGGAAGAGACTTTGTTTACTTGCTTTTTTTGTTTTGCCCTGAGGTTGGTCTCTTTGCAGCCTGGTGCTTACTTTGTGCCTCCAGGTCCCTGCTCCTGTCTTCTAGCCACAGCAGCTCTACAGAGGTGCACAGACACTTCCTGCCAAACCTCACCCTTCCTTACTTGCCCACATCAGTCTGTTCTCACTGTAGCCCTCCTTGGCCTTGCCTTCTCCCACTTCGCTTCTCCCTGCTCTCTGCTTCCCTATCCCTCTTGGGCCTGTCTCAATCCCTTGTCATCCATCATTATCTAATGCTTACCCCCACTCCCCCACCCTGTCTCACCCTGTTCTGGTGCCTGGAATCACCAGGCAGCACTGGTCTGGATGTCTGGTGTTGTTGACTTGCGGCCCTGTTACAGTGTGAACTTATAAAGGGCAGGGACTATGCTTTATTCCCTTTTTTGTGCTTCTCAGATGCCACACAGTGCTGTATCTCAGCTCCAAAGAAGGCATTTGTTTGCTGTTTTAAACTCTCTTCCTAGAAGGACTTCTGTGCATTTATGGGAGGGGAGGTTTATAACATGTGTCTGATAGCAGCAGCTCAAGCACAATAAGAAGCTCATTTCTCTGCCATGTACAAGCCTGAGCTTGTGAGTGGTCCAGGGGATATAGCTCTGTGCTGTACACTGTCTGGGGACCCAGGTCCCTTCTGTCTTGTGGCTTTGCCATTTCCTAAGGGTTGTCCCCATCTGTATGGTCAGAGCTGGCTCACAGCACCACCCATTTTTGGCCCATGGACATAGGCCAAGGATGTGGGGGCCTCCCCTGTTATGGGTCATGTGACCATGCCTGCCACAGGGAAAACTGTGGCTGCCAAACCTTAGAGGCCATATCTCTGGTGAGCTGGGGAAAAGGACATGAGGTGGGGGCAATGGGTGTAGGACACCTAAGGAATTGGAGCAGAAGAAAGTGCAAGAAGACTGGTCAGAACCAGCTGCCTCTAGTGTTATCAGAGGTGGAAGTACACACTTGGGCTGGACTCCATGAGTGACCATGCCCTGGTGTGCCCAGGACATGGGACTCTGGTGCTAAAGCTGGGGAAATCCCAGGCAAGGTCGACGAGCTGGTCACCCTCCCTGGTTCTGGCTTTATGGAGTTATGGGTGAGCCAGATCAGGGAGCAGAGGTGCTCAGCTCTGATTCCACCTTCTGTCCAGGCTGGGCCATGACACTGCCACTCTGTCCTTCAGATTCGGTGAGCCTGGCCTATCAGCGGGTCCAGAAGGTGGACTGTACCACTTTGAGGCCAGTCCTGATTCTAGGGCCTTTACTGGATGTGGTGAAGGAGATGCTGGTGAACGAGGCACCTGGCAAGTTCTGCAGATGCCCACTCGGTAAGGAGCACCCTCTATGCCTACTGAATTGAGTCGATCCCTGTCTGCCTGCCTCCCTGGCCCTGTCTCAGAGCCCTGAGTCTGACTTCAGTCAGACCCACCTTTGGCGTCTGGTTCCCTCTGTGGTGTCCTGCCACTGCCAGTCAGTGTTCCTCCCCACTCCATCAAGGGCTCCACGTGCTCCGGGTGCCCTGACTTCTGCACCTATGTCCTGCAGAGGTGATGAAGGCTTCCCAGCAGGCCATTGAGCGGGGTGTCAAAGACTGCCTGTTTGTTGACTACAAGCGCAGGAGCGGCCATTTTGATGTGACCACAGTGGCTTCAATAAAGGAGATCACAGAAAAGGTACCTATAGCTTTAGCCAGAGGGCTTGGCGCCTGTTGGGACTTCAGGGTTGGACTCCCCGTGTGTGGGTCTGGGCTGCTGCGCCTGTGGCCCTCTGTCCTGGCTCTTAGTGAGCTCACAGTGTCCTGGTCATCTGAGTCCTGCTCCTGGGCTCACCCTCCTCACTGCTGTGCCTCTCTGCTTTTGTAAACAGTGTGTGGATCTCTTGGTGAGAGTGTAGGAATCGCCTTTCCCTCTGAGGGGATCTGAACTCTAGCTTTGAACTCTAGGGACAGCCTCTTGGGGGCATTCCATGATGAATCCCTGAATGCTGAACTCTGGGGACAGTTTCTGAGAACCACTTTCAGGTTCTTACCTCTGTAAGGGCCAGCGACGTCTCTTGATGCTTTTGATGCTCTAGAGCCTATTTGCCAGACAAGTGGGACAGCTGCAGGGTGTACTTGCAGAGCAGCTTCTTGGAAGGCCGAGGTCTGGGCACTCCTCAGACTCTGGCACTGGGCTGCTTTGTTCACCATTCTGGGCTTAGTTTTCTTCCTCTCTTAGTTAGGCAAAGGTGTCAGCTTCTCACAGCAGTATGTGCATAGTACTCAGTTGAAGTAGATGAGTTCCAGTTAGGGAGCCCTTTAGTGGAACTTTCTGGGTTAGGGAGAGTGGCAGGCTGGATGCCCATTGCCTTTCTTTGGCTCACACTCTGTTTAGAGGCTTAGGGGACCCATGGGCTGAATTGCTATCACAGCCATGCAAAGGTACACTCTCCCCTCCACTGCCATAGGCCTCCAGCGTCCCTAACTTGTTCCTCAGTCTGGCAGAATAAGGTTAGGCCAAGGTGGGGTAGAGCTCTTAGAAGGTCCCTGCATTGAGGCAGAGGCAGGACAGGTGTCCAGTCCTGACACCTGTGTCCAGCCATGACAGCTATCAAAGCTGACAGGGGAGATGTCCCTGGGTAAGGTCTCCCCTTAGTTGTCTTGTGGGGCCTTCATGAAAGACTACTTCTATTGCTTTGATTGTGTGTTCATTTATGGAAGAAGATGGAGCTGTATGGAGCAAGGGTGGGTTCCCTTGCTGGCAGAAGGAGTGTCCTTAGAGGGCTGGTCCCCTTTGCCTGTCCTCTGGCACTCACTCTGTACCCTGCCCCTCAGAACCGGCACTGTCTGCTGGACATTGCTCCCCACGCCATTGAGCGGCTACACCATATGCACATCTACCCCATCGTCATCTTCATCCACTACAAGAGCGCCAAGCACATCAAGTAGGTGCCAAGGCCCTGTGGCTCAGCTGGGGCAAAACTGTGGCTCAGGTGGGGAAGGGAGCCAAAGAATGAAAGCAACCTGTGTATAGGAGAAACAACCCTTCCTTACCAGCCCTCACCCGTAGTCAGAGACAGCATAAACCAAGCTCGGTGCCTCTTTCCCTGCCACCCTTCCCCTTTAGGTGCCCCAGGGTTCCTGAGCATGGCTGCCTTTGTCTGCATTGCGCCCCTCCTGCCCTCCATCCCCATGCCTCTCAGGGTACTATGCTGTAGGCCAGAGCAACTGAGTGGCCTAGGCTAGGTCCTTGCTCACTGAGGCCCCCCCTTCACTTGGCCTTTCTGTACTGCTGAGCTCCTGGTGCCTGTGCTTGGGGTCAGCTGGCATTGTCTGCTGGCTCTGTGCCCATGCTGAAGTGTCCAGTTTCCCTGCCTGCTCAGAGCTTCCCATAAAGCCTGGACGGTATTGCTTTATGGGGAGCACCTAGGGCCTCCTGCCATAGCCTGCCCCTACCTTAATGGACTTCCCTGCCACCCTAGACCAAGGAAGGGAAAAGGAGGGCTTAGGGAAGCTGGAGGCTCAGCCTGGCTCCTCACTGTCCTAATAGGGAGCAGAGAGACCCCATCTACCTGAGGGACAAGGTGACACAGAGGCATTCCAAAGAGCAGTTTGAGACGGCTCAGAAGATCGAGCAGGAGTACAGCAGGTACTTCACAGGTAGGTGCTTGTGGTTTTGGTCAGGGCACAGAAGCAGTGGCTTCCCTAGAAAAGGTAGTAGCTGCCTTTCTTGGACAGGCTGTTCTTGGACAGGGGAATACTGCCCTACACCCTTGTGTTACTGGCAAGTTGTTCAGCCTGCAATCCCAGACCGGTGTCAGGTTGGGTTTTCTCCAGGTGGGTGAGGTTAAGCTCCCTAAGCTGCCTCTGGACATGCTCTGCTTTTATACAAGCAGTGACAGGGGTCTCTCAGCACAGACACTGTGCGGCACTGCAGCATCCCCAGCAGGCGGGAATCCTGAGGCCCCCAGTGGACCCAGCAGTGCAGGCAAGGCCAGTCCTAGCCAGGTTGTCATTGTGTGGGATGGGCAGTTTATGCGTGAGTAGTCTACTCTCCGGGGGCAGTTTCCCTCTCCCTTTCTTGTCCAGTTTCTTACTGATGGAGGAGAGTCAGGTGGGGATGGGCAGGGGTGCCAAGTAGCTAACAGATAGGCAAGCCTTAGAGTGTGAGCTGCATTGATTTGCCTCAACTTGAGGATCTTACACAGAGCTATGGCCCATGTGTGTCTGGGGGGGTTCTTCTGCAGGGGTCGTCCAGGGAGGAGCCCTGTCGAGCATTTGCACTCAGATCTTGACAACAGTCAATCAAGAGCAAAGTAAAGTCCTGTGGATCCCCGCCTGCCCACTCTAGAAGGCTGGACCAGGAGGCAACTTAGCCAGCCTGATGGTGGGGGAGACCTGGCTCGTTCTTCTCCAGTGACTGAAGACAGAGTTCTATCTGTATATGGAGCTGCCAGGAAGGATCCAGAACCAGGATTCCAGAAGCACCTCCTTCGTAGACAGAGGGCAGCAGTCACATGGATCCAGGCCTGGGCCAGCAAGCTGCTCCTCTTTATATGTGTGCTTTACACAAAAAGCAGAAACACAAAAGACTTGGTAGGGGTTGAACACCCACCTTCCTATAACCAGCCGATCAGAGATGCTGCACAGAACCTTTCAGATCACAAGTTTACAAGCCTTTTCTAAGTATTTGGTTGTTTATGTTTACTTGAACGGCTCCATGTCGGTGCCCCGCCCCTGCTTCCTGCCACCTCTGTTGCTTTGGTGTTGGTTTTGTTTCTGTCTTCAGCAAAATGACCCTGGAACCTTGTGGGGGCTGCTTTGCTTTGGGAGGTTCCTGTCAGTGGGACCAGAGCTTCGACAGACTTCCTGCTCCCCCATGGCCCATCTCCCGGAAGAACATCATGACCGCAGGTGCTCAGACCACTGGTAGTGGCAGAACCAGTGCCTTGGAGGGGCCAGCTCACCACCACAGCGTTTTCCTCCCATGCCAGGGAAGGTGGCTTTGGCACTCTTAGGAATTTGCCTCTTGGCCTTTCCTCCTGCCTCCCATGGCCTCTCATTTCCCCTCCAGCTGCATTTCTTATTTAAGTGTCATTATGGTCCCTCAGGGCCTCTTAGGTTCTCAGTGACATGATTGGGTCCTAGGCAGGGTATGAAGCAGGGCACGTGAACACATGGGCTCCCCTAGGTTCCATGAGTCCTCACAGCCTCTATCAGTGCAATGTTGCAGGGTAATCCTTACACTGTACAGCATGGAAGTACATCACTCTTTTTGGTGCGAAACCATTCATGTTTTAGACTTTGAAATGAGAACTTCTAAGGGGAAACATAATGGTTAATGTCGCCATTATTGAAAATCTCAAAAGAAAGCCTGGGGTCTTGTTAATCTTGCTTTTATACCTCTCAGCATGAGCCTGACTCCGTGAGGATGTCTGCAGTCTTTGTCAGATTTCTGTTTTTTTCTTTTTTTTGCACTTCTGATGCCGGATATCCCTGGCTGGAGATTCAATGTGGTTTCTCCTTTAAACTGTGTGCCCTGTTAATAGGTACTGTACTGGCTCTGTGGGTCATTGGGGTAGGACCTATATTTTAATACTGTTCCTAACATTTCATTTTACTAGCAAGAAATCTTTGATTTCATTTTATTCTTTGTAATTCTAGAAACTAGATTATAGTTTAGCCATTACTGACATTTTTAAAAAAGGGATATATTTTCTTGCACAGCTGTTCAAAAAAGAAACAAGTTTTAGTCCTCAGTGCTGTCCTTTGTTTTACAGGTACAAGTTTTCTAGCTCAGACAACTGAGAAAAACTGTAGGCCATTCTCAAGGTACTGCTTGCACAGCCTTGAGGGGCTGTTTTCTAGGTTGCAGGTTGAGTTGGGCTGTGTTGGGCAATGCACAGGCAGGTACGGATCTGACAGATGGGCTGTTCTGTACTAAGATGTTACTTTATATCAAAAGGTAAACAGATTTTAGTACAAATAAAGGTCAATTTCTGTCACCCATTGTGTGTAAAGATACCTGTGCCATGCTGTGCTAGCTGGTGTATAGCCTCTTCCTGCTGCCCCAGCTTTCCATCACCCTGGTCCTCTATGCTCCTCCTAGCGTGTGACTGGATTGACTGAAGGATGAGGTTCTTGCCTGTTCTTCCATCTCTGCCCCTCTCGGACTCCCTTCTTCCTCTCTAGTCTGTCCATCTGTCCCATGTTGCATGGGGTGTTGGTCGCAGCTGGGCAGCCCTCACCTCCTCATGGTTAGGCCTGCAGGTATGGGTTGGCCTGAACTTGTGAGAAGCAAAGAGAAGTGAGCCAAGCTGAGTCCTCAGGGGATCTCTGAGTGTTCTCAGTCAGGGTCCTGCCTGACACTATTGGTGGAAAGAGTCCCTGCCTGGCATGGGACCATGTTGTGGGCCTCAGATCATCATATTGTGATATTACCCAGCACTGCAGGGGCCCTGGAGCAGCCATGGACTGGAAGTCCGTGTTCTGCATGATGGAAAAGTTAGGAGGCATGGCCTGTGACTGCGAGAAGCCGGGGCTGAGGTCTGGTGCGAATCCCTCCCCTCCTCCGCTGCTTCTGCTTAGAGGGTCTCAGGGGCGCAATGTTCTGCCAAAGCCCCATGCTGGTGTGGTAGCCAGGCCAATGGAGACAGACTTGGTGTTGGTGTTGGTACCTCTCTCGTCCCTTCCTATTAGACCAAGTTCCACTATGGCCCTGCAGTTATGGCTTCACCCATGGCAATACAGAGATGTGCAGGGATCTGGCAGGTGAAGGAGGTGGGACAGTGTGTGTTCCTTGTCTTCCCTCTTCCTCACTCAACCCAGTCACTTACCCATGCATTCATAGCCATAGGGCCAGATCATATCTTCTGACAGCCCAGCCCTGGTACCATCCTTAGAGGCAGCCACAAAAGATTTTAAGTCAACCCCCTGGCAAGTGGCAGGGGTGGTAGGTCTTTATTTTAGGAATGGTTTCTCTTAAAAGAGTTTAGTTATGATTAAACCAAAACCTTAAAAATAGTTCCTATTTCTGACATTGTGATAATTGTTTGCTTCTTTAGAAGTTTTTATAGTTTCCAAATCTTCTACAGGCAACTTGATTTTCTTTTGTAATCACAAGAGAAAACATGATGCCTTTTAAAACTAAAAGGCCAGTTGTATCACTGAGTTTGCAGACTATTTTTCCATGGACAGAAGCTTTGTAAGGCAGCCACTGGGATATGCTGGCAAGCAGCCTCAAGAGAGGACTCACGCCCTTTTGAGGCTTTTTTCTAAACCATACTGGGCAGTGAGGGGGAGGGCACAACCACAGGATCTCTGCCCCAAGGTGGTGTCTGTCTCATGGGGGCTCAGATCATTCTAGAAGGGCACTCTTGACGGCACTCTCTTGGCCTTTATCTCCAAAGACAGTGAAGTGTGGATGCTCTCTGAGGCCCCTTCTGGTGCCAACTTCTATGATTCTGCAATGTGGGTGGGGAGTGGTTCCAGAGGAGTGAAGCCCAAATTCACTCCTGACCTTGCAGACCCAAAGGAAATCCCTCTGGCAAGGCTGGAGGAGACCCAAGGCCTGGAAGCAGAAGTCAAGCAGGCCTGGAATAGAAGCCAAATGCTAGCCAGAACCCTTGGGCCTCTCTCTTCCTGGCTGAGACCAAGCCATGAAGTTACAACAAAGCAGGTGATTTGTGGAAAGGTTTGTTCTAGAAAGGTGAGCAGCTACCACTTGAGGATGATGGGACCAAAGGGCCACCTGGGTCATGGATGTCAAGGATGAGGGAAATGCAGGAGGGCACAGACAGCGTAAACTCAATACGAAGGGAGCACAGGCCGGCAATGGAAGGATCATCCTCCCAGGGAGGGAGAGGCTTCAGGAGGGAACCCTGGGCAGGCTTGGCCTCTCACCACTGCCCTGCTCCATTGGCTTTCAGGCCTATGGTTCCCTTAGCCTCATCTCGTCCGTTCATACCTCTCATCATCCAGAATGTAGTCTCTGTTTCTTGACAATCCCTCCTCCAGTCAAGACTTGGTTCTTGCTATTATGCATTTTTGTCTTTTTCTTTCCAACTGTGAAATGTGTCATCCCTACAGAAGAAGAGCATATACAATATAAATGTACAATTAGAATAAAATAGGCGGTCTATGCCTCTTTAAGGAACAAAACTCTATCCCTCCCTTAGGAGCCCTTATATGCCCACCCAGTTGAATTCCCCACTTTCTCCACTGAATAATTTCCTTTTATATATAGTCAGTCCAACACACATATCTTTCAACAATATATTGTGCGGTTTTGAAAACATTGAGTGAGCATCGAACACAGACGATTACAGACTTCGCTACATGGGGAAGACACAATGTTGCCACAGTTGAGTAAAGTCTATGGCAGGCAAGAGGGACTCCACAGCCCTAGCAGGATTTCCTCTGTCTCTCAGGGATGCCTATTTCCAGAGCAGTTCAACAGGTTGACTCAGGCATTTGGATTGTTTTTATTGTGTTTATAGATTTGAAATTGAGTTGTATTAGAACATGGCCACATTCATTCGTGTATTGTTGTAACTGCTTTTGTATTGTAACCCTATAAAACTAGAGTTTTACCTGGTCCTTACAGGTAAAAGTTTCCCAATTCCTGATATGTAGGGTAAAGCGAAACAAACCAACATGTGTTTAGGATATACTTTATGCTAGGCATAATGTTAGGCAACTTCACATCTAGTATCACATTTAGTTTGACATCTCTCATTTACAAAATTTCACAATCTTGAGTAATCAGATAACTCCTTGTCATGCTGAAGTACTTTCTCTGGAACCATACCTTTGCTTTGTGTTTTACTCACACTTAGTTTTATCCTTATAGAAGCATCTATAACGAGTTTATAGTTGGTACATGTCCAGGCTTTCAGCAACTAGTGAATTGCTAAAGCTATTTTATGATGCCATTTACCCTTAGGGATAAAAGAAAACTTGTTCATATTTTAGAGCTCTAGCTTCTCATAGAGGCTACTTGTTCTGAGAAAGTAAGCCATCTAAGCTACTATAACCTGTCCCCTTCTTCTGTCAGTTAAGGATGGACAGAGATGCTGAGAACTAAGTGTTAGGGTGAACAAAAGGGAAGCCATGTTAGGATTAGACCCCCCACCCTTGCAGACAGTTTTTGGGAGGGACCACACCTGGCCTCAAGGGAATGACAAACTCTCACCTCATCTGGTTCTGAGCTGTCACTTCACCAGGGAGTCCAGAGCTATGAGCAACCTATGTACTTAATTACCACTTATCTCTTCTAGCTTCCCCTAGTAATTGTTAATCCCAAGTTTTCCTGCCCAGCAAAACTTCTCCTCTAGACCCCTCCCCTATATCTACTCCAAGTCTGTAAGTGGCAGTGGGGTTCTGGCTTTTGGCTAGATACTTCCCTCCACAGGGCTTCTTCTGGAATAAACCTTGTACTGGCGTTTGAGCGTCTCCCACCTATCCATTCTGTACCTCTTTCAGTCTAATAGATGGTGCTGAAACCCAGGACAAGGCTGGGGTTTTTATGGACGTTTTAACTCTGGGTTAGGTGGGCTCTTTTTATTGGCCATGGATTCGCAGGCTTTCTCAGGTGAACTGGTCTGTTTGCCCCTTATAGGGGACGGGAAACAATCATGAGAGCATTTTGCTCATCTGCCCTGTGGCAGATCTGTCAGACCCTGTATGTTTTCTTTAGGATGCAGGAATGTGGATTTACAACTCCCTCTCAGGGTGCAGGAATGCAGGATTCTAACTCCTTGGGATACAGGAATTACATTGCTTTGGGGGTGGGGGGAATGGGATACTACTCACTCATCTGCCTTAGATCTGCCTACTCCCCCTAGTACCCTCCCCCCCACACACTGTATCTGTTTTACAGTCCTGTTTTTCATTATTAATATTTAAGTTGATAGTAGCAATGGAAACCATATTTAAGTTGATGTTCAGAGGGGTTTCTCAAAAGAAAGGTATGTCCACTTACCTTTCTTTGGTGGCTCTGTCAGGGATACACAGGGATACCATGTGTATCTTTCCTTTCTTTGATGGCTCTTCCAGGAACTATTTTCCTATCACTTGATATCCATCCAAAACCATCCTTCAAATTTCGGTGAGTTTCCCCTCTTTCTGGGTTTCTCTCTCTGCCTCTCTCTCTACTGTGGATATCCTACTGTGGACCACTGTGAAGCCCTGGCCAGGCAACAAACTCCCTCCTTCCACCAGCCCCAGCCAGGCAAGAAACTCCCTCTGTCCATCAACTGGGTGGACTTGTTAACAGTACTGGTTCAGTCTGTGATCAGAAGACTTACAAATTCTTTGTCCCATGTGGAAGAATCCATGGCAGGACACGTGAGTATAAATGGAATTTATTAAAAGTTAGGGAAGGGAAATACAAAGGGAAGCATGGTGGGGCCAAGGTGGAAGCCTGGAAGATCGTGTTTCTGCTCTTCAAGTGCTTTTAAAACCTACGAAAACCTATGGGAAGGGGAGAACAAGGAGATTCCCATACAATAATCAAGGAGTGGGGGTGGGCACAGACGGTTCCTGGCCAGGTGCGGGTCGGATGGGCCATCCCTGGGCAACCTGCATGTGAGTCCTGAACTTTCCCTACTCTAGCCTGCCTCAAATTCCTCCCGAGACAATATTCCAAAATACTCATTTTGGGATATTGCTGAAGTGGGGAGTCCATCTTCAGTATCTGCTTTAAGCTGACAAGGGGCAGCCGTCCCTACCTACAAGGGGAAATTGTCTCTCCTGCTTCTTTCCCTTGGGGCTCATTTGTACACAGTGTCTGAATTATTGTCCAGCACAGTTAAGGTTCCTCATGGAGCTCTGGTTTATTCATCTGTAGAGATAACCCTATTGTCTCATGATTTGGGTCCTAAAGACTTTTATCCTAGAAGAGAAAAATGTGGTTTAGAAGGCATGACCTGAACATGAACAATGACAGGAGCATCAGAAGGAGCCCTGCCAGGTGTAGCAGGAAGGATAAGGAATCTAATTTTTCATTGTGAAAAGTGACAGGCAGTCTTATGGTTACTTTGCCTATTGGTGTTTATACCTGTAGCTATGAACTTTTGCAACCAGTACAGAATCCAAACCCCATCAAGGTAAGTGTGGCTGATACAAACCTATCGCTCGTGGTCAGTTTTCATATCAGGTCATGGGGTTGTAGTCAATTTGTAAACTGAGTAGGGAAACAAGTACATTTAAAAAAAAGATAAATACAGAAACAAACAAATAAATACAGAAACAGAGGTAAGAGATTAAGCATAAAGTTAGGAAACCCAATGACTGAGTCATGGCTTGGATATTGAAAGGAAATAAACCCCAATATCCCTTATGGAGGGTGAACTTCTGGTTTTGGTAAAATTTTCTATCAGCCTATAGCACCAAAAGTCCCCGACAGTTATTTTGATAAATCAGAAACCCATTTTTAAACACACATAGTACCTTACATTTTGACCTCAGAAACTCTCTAAGCAAACTAAAGCACAGCCAACCCAATCACACATACATAAACTAATAAGCTTTAAGACCTTAACTTGTATCTTGAAACAACCTTTGTAAAAACCCACGTTTAGGTAACACTGTTTTTTAATAAAACTCTTAGTAACCTTATACCTTAAAAGACTTAGGAAGAAAATTAAACTATGTTTTTTTTATGATAGTAATCTATAAAAACACATGGGTAAATAAACCTAATTATAGAGGAGTTACATGTAAATTACACTCACAATAGAATGAAACAGACTGTTTGTAAATTTTCTTTTAGTCCTAAAGCAGATTATAGTTAGACCTAGTTGGGATTAGAACTTCAGATAACTTTTGAGACAGTGGAGTACATTAACTTTATAAAAGTAGCTTAGGACCCATCCTAAAGACATCTACACACACACACAGAGACACGGAATTTTTGACCTAGGCATGCCAAAGAATATCAATATAAGCGTGCATATGAACTCAAACACTTATTGGCCACAAGTACATAGGTAGGAGACAGATTAAGACATACACAGAAAGCACACAATGACACACAAAACAATCACATTAATTCACAGTGTACTCTTAAATCATTTTTTGTCATTATCTTTAGATTTGTCAGCTAGGTTCCTAAGTAGTATATAACAGATCTTTAACACAAATACTCTATTCTTTGTCTAATCCTGAACAGATTAATGTATCAAAAACAACATGTATAAAAACTATATGAATTTAGAGAATTTTAATCACAAGCTAGTTATAATTTTCCTAGAGGATGGCAAGATGGCATCAACCATGACTTCCCTATCCCTAGAGAGTGGCAAGATGGTGCTGTACACATGGTGGCTTCATCATAAGGGCAGTATTTCCTGTGACCACATGGTCTCTCCAAAGGGTCTCTCAAATGGAACACAAAGACAGGTTACATGTTAACTTACAGGCTCAAAATAGCAATCTGTTATAGGACTAAAAGACATCTCCCCCCAAGAGACAGGCATCCTATGAGTTAGGCATGCTAATGACAAGACCAAATAATTGAAGCAAATTAAGGTGGGATTTGAAAGATTTTGTTGTCTCTGTGGATGTGACAACATCATTTGATAGTTTGGAGAATTAGTAATAGGCTACAGAACTTCTCCCTCTTTGAATGTAATGGGCTATCTTTTAGTTTTAAAGGCTTATCTAAATTTAGGATTGCTAGGGTGAGGGCAAATGCCAGTAAACCTTCAAGCTTTGAGGGGCTTTTTGTTGTTCAGTTTACTAATTGAAGTATCATGATGGAATAGATGTAATTGCTAAGAATAAAACCTCTAATTAAATTGTCTATTCAAAACACCCACACATAAGGACCCTTTTTTTTTTTTAACCTCTTGGCTGTAAGTAAAGCCTAATTTTTTTCTCTGTAGGTAATGGGCATTTAAAAAAAACATGCTATTTTTGTTGTACTTTGCAAAATATAAACAGAGAGCAGTTAAAGTTTTGGAAGGGAAGTGTAAAACAAAACCAATGATAGCAAATGTTTAAATAGACAACTGCTTGAGACATAGACTCTTGTTAGTAATGTTTTTTGGGAACTTGATTGTAAAATGTCTTAGAGAAGGAGCCAAACTGTAGATGACAAAAAAACTTAGAACAATTATTGTTAGAATGTTTTTAAATGTTTAGCAATTTGACAAAACAATACTTATTCTATATCACATTTTAGGATAATAATTATGATGGACAGTATTAATTAGTACCATTAAGTTCTCCTTATCTCAAGTACATATTTAAAACTTGTATTCTAGTGTAACAAAATGACATCTTGTTAATCAAATACATTCCCCCTCTTAATTTTGTCTTTAGAGGAAATGAATTTTAAATAAGCTACAAAATGTTTTTTATTATATACTTTATGGATGAACAAAGTCAAATCCTTTATTAAATAGCACTGTTTTTAATTTAGAAAACATACTTAAGAGTATTAGGAAAAAATGCTGCTCACAAAGAAAGCTCACGAGAAAAGTCTTACGTCCAAGAGCAAAGTTTAATGGCAGGCTCAAACCGCCAGGCTGGCCAGGGAAAGATGGTGCAGCACAGACTCTGGGGCAGGCATGGCTTTTATAGAAGGGGGAGATTAAGGAAGTTAGTGCATGTGTGGTAGTCTCTGGTAGGGGTGGGGCTGTCTTAGAAGGTGGGAATTTCTGTTAAGGGGTGGGGCTGCCATTTTTGCCACTGATTCACAAAATGGCGACATTATTACTCTATCATTCCCCCATTTTTTCTTTAATAATGATGAGGGTAGGTGCTGAGGATCGGGAACTGGAGTGAAGTGTTGGCCTCTTAGCTGCTTCCTGCTGGCAGGGGGCACTGTATGGGGCAAGATCCTCAGACTCCTGTGGCGTCCTGGTAGGGGCCCTCACAGCAGTCCTCTGGACAGTTTTGGAGAGGTTGATATCCCTGGAGGTACAATTGGTTAAACTTTTGATTAGCAATAGCAGACATGCAGTATGATACAAGGGAGGAAGCTTAAGAATAGGAGAGCAAGAACATAGTCATATCCCTTCTCCATTTTTCTAGTGGTTCCTTGAGAAGTGTCACCACTGGGGGATTCCATTGAGCTTGACAGCAGTGAGTGTTATGAGAATGACCAGATGAGGGCTGGTCCACCAAAGTCCCAATGGGGAGGGTAGAAGATCCTTTAGGAGAACAAGATCCCCTGGTTTA